TGCGTAGAATCCAAAACAATTCTTACTTTTTCGATTAGACTCCTCAATCAAAAGTTATAAACTAGAAACCAATTTCGAAAAAAATTCAAAGGGCTGTAACTTTTAAACTAGTAGCCTAATCTTGGAACTGTTTGAAATTATGGATTCTAGAGGCCACATTCTATAAGAAAATGTTTTTTTCCCGGTCGATCTCAGACAATTTTTTTTTCCGGCCTCAAAAAAAGGCAGTGTATTACCTTCCTTTTTTACCAAAATCGGCTGCACCAAAATTTCTCGGGAAAATACTTTTTCTCACTAATTTTGGTGCGTAGAATCCAAAACGATTCGTACTTTTTCGATCAGACCTCTCAATCAAAAGTTATGGACTAAATACAAATCTCGACAATATATATATACAGGGTGGTGACTTGCGTAACGCATCATAGGGATTTCAATGTAAAATTCATAACATGCGATTATTGGCTCCCCAAATTATTTTAGAGCAAAATGTATTAAGGTTTTATATATATATATATATATATATATATATATATATATATATTCTGCAGAATCTGCAAACTCAACAGAATTTCAACCTACGCTCGTTACAGCATCAATAGAATCCGATTTCACAACGGTTTGAGCAAAACCTCAACACAATCTTAACAGAATCTGAACGTATTCTCAACAGTCTTGATCAACACAATATCAACAGTATCCGCATAGCCTCAACAGATTCGAAAGATCAGCAACACAATTTCAACAGAATCTCAACATATCTGTAAGGGATATGTAAGAAATCCATATGACCCAAAAAAAAACATTAAAAAATACTGAAAGGTCTCAGCACTCAACACACTTTTTTTAATTTTATGGTGGAAGTGGTGTTACCTTAAATACTGGAATCAACGTAAAAAAAGAGGGTTGCAGTTCAATTCATTGATCCATATAGTTTCATAAATCAAAAGTGAAGCTTCCTGAAGCTGTCAGCGAGTGCGGTTTCTCAATTTTTAATTATCGACCGCATGTGTGCGGGGTATTATCTCCAAACAAGCTTTTCTCTCAGGGATTTTGTTTTAATTGTTTCAGGTGTTTCTGAATAAATCAATCGATTAAATTCGACAGATTTCCTGTGGAAGTTCGTTTCAAAATGCTATAGAATCGATTCGACCACGGAACGAAATGGAAAAGGTCGATAAATCCGCCTGAACGGACAAGTTTAGTTTAATAAATAAGGAAACTTACCCTGGCCGCTCGCTGATCCCGTTCGTAGCGCTAACAGCGAGCCTCACGTTTCCGCTCTGCACCTCCGGATTCGAGGGCTTCTCCTTGACCATAATCCGTATGGGTTGCACGTCGGTTGCGACGACGGTCCTCGCCTCCCGAATCCTTTCGTTCGCGCTTTTCGGCAGCACGTCTAGCCCCACGACGCTGTGCCGCGGCGAGTGCGTTCTTCCGTTCGTGCCGCTCTTCGCGTTCACCTCCTCGACGTTGTTGTTCATCCCCAACGCGGGGGTCGCCTCGGTGGCCGGCGAATTTTCGGCCGACACGACGGTCGGCGGAATTCGGGATGACATGTTCGTGTCCTTCATCAGGGTCCTTGTGTCCAAGACGGTGTCGTTCATGCGATTGAGGGCGGTCGAAACGCTCGTCGCGCTCAAGGCTCGCACGTCGGGAAGATAGTCCTTGTCGTTGTCGCCCAGGTCGATTTTGAGAGGTTTCGTCGCAGTTGTGGTCGTGCTGGACACGACGGTCGAGGATGCTGTAAACGTATCCGCCGCCTTCTGGGGGCTGGACGCTTTGGACGATACGGCGTCGTTTTCAATATCGTCCAGCTCAATTCGGGAGGGCTCACTTTTTGCACTAACTTTCGTCCGGCCCTTTGCGGGACTGTTTGAGGCACTACTCGATTGCGTAACACTAACTTTGCTGTTTTTTCGTTCTAGTTTTGGCATAGGCACTTGTGGTTTGATAGGCACTTTCGGTTTAATCGAATTAAAACTATTCACTTTCGCTTTGACATTTTTGTAATTGTTCTTGTTAGGAATTTTGAGCGGACTTTGGTCTCTACTCGCGTTTCTCGAACTGGATTTGGAACCGGTTTCGCTGGTCGTTCCCGAGGCGCGAGAAGCGGGAGGCTGGCTTCTGCTTCGGGGTATCTTCGACGGAGAAGGTCTCAACCTTCCGGATTCTGGGGTTCGCTCCGGCGAGCTGCCGACGATCGGTGACAACTTCTGAAAGGCCGGGGGTTTCGCGTGTTTATTCGGAGCGTGCAGGGTCTTCTGGCTTAGCTGCTTCGGCGAGACGTTCGTCATGCTCTTGCTGTACTCTCGCGTGAGATTCGTTCTAGATCTGAGAGCTCTCGGCGGCAGTCCAGCAACCGGCTTCTCCAGATAAAGGTCCGCGTTGCTTCCACGGCGCGACAGCGTTGGTATTTTCGACCGTTGTTTGCCGCACGACGTCTCCTCCCTTTGCTGGTGGTGAAAGGAAGGCCCTCTGCTGTCATCGTGCCGAGGAGATGGTGCTGGCGACGCATGTCGTGAACCTATTGGATTAAAACCGCGACCACGGAAAGGACTGACTCTTCCCGTTGGAGAGGGGCTGCGCGATCCTGGATTGCTACACGATTCGGCTATGATGGAAAATGCCGCATTTCGATGGCGACGTGCTGTGGGCGTTAGCCTGAAAGAAAAGTTGGAAATTGTAGTCAGGAAATCTTTAGCACGAAGAATATAAAAAGCGGGAAAATGTATGCACGTGGAAATAGGCCGCTAAACAAATCGATTCCATTTGAAGTGTTTTACAACACGCATGCGATTATTAATTTTTTGTTCGGTCACGTCTTGTGTAAAGAAAAAATAATTAACGTACACGTGTTCCACTTCTTAGTGCTCAGGATAAATTATTTTTCCAAAGTCTTATAGGGCGATGCCGTTGCGTTACAGGCTGGTCAAGTGGGAGGAATATCGCTATTGTTTATTGTAAATCATACTACGGATTCCAACTATATGACACGGTAAGAAAGGATTTTTAAATAATCCTTAGGATTTGTATAAAAACAAAAGAATCTCATAACTCCCACAAAATATGTTCAGAATCCCTACAGTCTCTACAGGATCTCTACACAATTTATATATATAGTTCTACACAGTTCCTACTGAAACCCTGCAGAATCTCTACAGAATCCCTACAGAATATCTACAGAATCTCTACAGCATATCTACAGATTTCTACAGTCTCTACGGAATTTTTACAGAATCTCTACAGTATCTGTACAGACTCTACAGAATCTTTACAGAATGTACAGTATCTACAGAATCTCTACAGAATCTCTACAGAACCTCTACAGAATCTCTACAGAATCTCTACAGAATCTCTACAGAATCTCTACAGGATCTTTAAAGAATCTCTACAGAATCTCTAAAGAACCTACAGAATCTCTACAGAACCTCTACAGACTCCCTACAGAATCTCTATAGAGTCTCTCCAGAATCTCTACAAACCTCTACAGATTCTCTACCGAATTTTTACAGAATTCACAGAATTTCTATAGTCTCAACAATCTCATAATCTCCACAAAATTTGTACAGAATCCCTACAGTCTCTACAGGATCTCTACACAATTTCTAGACAATTTATATAAGAGTTCTACATAGTTCCTACTGAAACCCTGCATAATCTCTACAGAATCCCCTTTTACATACAACTGACATGAAGACATTCGTGTAAGGGGGGGGGGGTATTCCATACCTTCTACATACTTTGGTGATACTTTCACCCCCAGAACGTTCAGCCTTAAAGCCTATTTTCAAAAAATACGGTGTAAAGTACTAAACATTTTAGGAAAAAATGTAAAAACGGGGGAGGGGGGCCTGGGGTTATGGAATCCCCCTGGTCAAAGAAATGATAAGCCTCCATTTTCCTACATCTGACATAAAAACCTTCGTACATTGGCGAATACTCCCTACCTCCCGCACCCCCAGGTGATACTTTCACCCCCAGATCGTCCAGCCTCGAACCCCATTCAAAAAATTACGGAGTAAGTACTAAGGGTACCTTTGGGGAAGAATGTAGAACCGCGGAGTCTGGGGGTATGGACTGCCCATTTGGGCCTATGGAAAGCCTATTTTCAAAAAATACGGTTCAAGTGCTACGGGTACTAAAAATATTGGAGAAGAATGTAGAAACGTGGGTATACCCCAGGTCAGAGTGGTATTCCATACCCCCCAGACCCCCGATGAGACTTTCACCCTCCAGAACGTTTCGCACTAAGGCCTTTTTTCAAAGTATGTGGTCAGTGCTAAGGGCACAAACCATTTTGTGGATGAATGTAGAACCAGGGGCGGAATACCACCAAGAAAAAGAAACTCAATGTTCATTTCTCTATTTTGCGTATTGTGGATCCGGCTTTTTTGTTCTTAAAGACTGTTTTTCTACCTATTAGTGTTTTATTGCTCCTTAATGGACTCTGACAGGCCCTTCATACCATTTAAAGTAAAATTTAAGTAGCCCTTGACTTTAGGTCTCTAAGTGCGTTTCGGGGTCTTTTAAAATTTGTAAAGTATTTTATACTTCAACAGCTTCCAAAAACGTTAGAGCCTTTTATAATCTTTAAAATCTCCAAGCGCTTTCTAGAGGTATTTTTGAATGGCGCTTAGAGAGTTGAAAGGTTCTATAAAAGGCTTTGTGCTTTTTTATGTCGTTATCCGTCTTTAGAGGATTTTATAGTCCTTTAAGAGCCCGGTGGATATGAACACGGTCCACAGGAGGGTTTTCGAAAGTCATTCAGTAACTTTCAGAAAGATTTTGGGATTTTTTCACTTTTCAAGTTTTAAGATTCTGTAGAGATTCTGCAGAGATTCTGTAGAGATTCTGTAGAAATCTGTAGAAATCTGTAGATATGCTGTAGAGATTCTGTAGATATTCTGTAGGGATTCTATAGAGATTCTGTAGATATTCTGTAGGGATTCTGCAGAGAATCTGCAGGGTTTCAGTAGGAACTCTGTAGAACTATATATATATAGATTGTGTAGAAATTGTGCAGAGATCCTGTAGAGACTGTAGGGATTCTGTACAAATTTTGTGGAGATTATGAGATTGTTGAGACTATAGAAATTCTGTGAATTCTGTAAAAATTCGGTAGAGAATCTGTAGAGGTTTGTAGAGATTCTGTAGAGGTTTGTAGAGATTCTGTATAGATTCTGTAGAGATTCTGTAGAGATTCCGTAGACACTGTAGAAATCTGTAGATATGCTGCAGAGATTCTGTAGATATTCTGTAGAGATTCTGCAGGGTTTCAGTAGGAACTCTGTAGAACTATATATATATTGTCTAGAAATTGTGTAGAGATTCTGTAGAGGTACTGTAGGTATTTTATGTATATTGTGAGAGACTGTATAAAAACATTCTGTAGAAATTCTGTACAGATTCTTTAGATATTCTGTAGAGGTTCTGTAGAGGTTCTGTAGAGATTCTGCAGAGATTCCGTAGAGACTGTAGATATTTCTAGAGATACTGTAGGGATTCTGTAGAGATTATGCAGGGTCTCAGTAGGAACTATGTAGAACTCTTATATAAATTGTCTAGAAATTGTGTAGAGACTGTAGGGATTCTGTACAAATTTTGTGGAGATTATGAGATTGTTGAGACTATAGAAATTCTGTGAATTCTGTAAAAATTCGGTAGAGAATCTGTAGAGATTCTGGACCTGCGTTAATGTCGTTTTTTAATTCGCCCCTCCAGAATCTCTACAAACCTCTACAGATTCTCTACCGAATTTTTACAGAATTCATAGAATTTCTATAGTCTCAACAATCTCATAATCTCCACAAAATTTGTACAGAATCCCTACAGTCTCTACAGAATCTCTACACAATTTCTAGACAATTTATATAGGAGTTCTACATAGTTCCTACTGAAACCCTGCATAATCTCTAAAGAATCCCTACAGCATCTCTAGAAATGTGTACAGTCTCCACGGAATCTCTACAGAACCTCTACAGAATATCTAAAGAATCTGTACAGAATTTCTACAGAATGTTTTTATACAGTCTCTAATAATATACATAAAATATCTACAGTACCTCTACAGAATTTTTAAGTATGTCAGTGTGTAAGATCTCTAGAGAATTTTTACAGAATCGTATCTAAATATACACAATAATTTTTACAGAATCTTCCACGGTATATCAGATCTAACTTTCCACGGAGGAGACCCCAAAACAACCAACGTGTTCAAGTAACGCTAAAAGCATTAAATGCCTTGGTCTTGAAGGCCCTTAAAACTTTCTAAGGTTATTAAAGTCCGTAAAAGACTGATGAAGGTTTTTTTTTTAATGTCTGGAGAATTAACGAGACAAAGAAACCTTTAAAGGCTGTTATAAACGTCTAAAACGACTAGCATTTAAAAACCGAGCCCTTAAAACTTGAAAAGCGAAGAAAATCCCAAAATCTTTCTGAAAGTTACTGGAAGACTTTCGAAAACCCTCCTGGAGACCGTTTTAAAGACGAATAAGGACATATAAAAGCACTTAAAGCCTTTTATAGAACCTTTCAACTCTCTAACTGCCATTCAAAAACTACCAACACTTCTAGAAGGATCTTGGAGATTTTAAAGATTATAAAAGGCTCCAACGTTTTTGGAGGCTGTTGAAGTATAAAATACTTTACCAATTTTAAAAGACCCCGAAACGCACTTAGAGACCTCTAAAGCCCGTAAAAGGTCTCAAGGGCTATTTAAATTTTACGTTAAAGGGTATGAAAGGCCTGTCAGAGTCCATTAAGAAACAATTAAACATTCACAATACGCAAAATAGAGAAATGAAGATTGAGTTTCTTTTTCTTGGTGGTATTCCGCCCCCTCCGCCCACCCCCTGGTTCTACATTCATCCACAAAATGGTTTGTGCCCTTAGCACTGACCACATATTTTGAAAAAAGGCTTTAGTACGAAAGGTTCTGGGTCTCATCGGGGGTCTGGGAGGTATGGAATACCACTTTGACCTGGGGGATACCCACGTTTCTACATTCTTCTCCAAGATTTTTAGTACCCTTAGCACTTGAACCGTATTTTTTGAAAATAGGCTTTCCATAGGCTCAAATGGGCAGTCCATACCCCCAGGTTCCGCGGTTCTACATTCTTCCCCAAAAGTACTCTTAGTACTTACTCCGTAATTTTTTGAATGGGGTTCGAGGCTGAACGATGTGGGGGTGAAAGTATGGAGTATTCGTCAATGTACGAAGGTGTTTAAGTCAGTTGTAGGAAAATGGGGGTTGTCCCTTTCTCTTGCCCCCCCCCCCCCGCTAACCGGTACTACATTCTTCCCCAAAATGTTAATGTCCTTAGCACTTACACAATACTTTTCCAAAGGAGGGTGTAAGGTAGAACGTTCTGGGTGTGAAAGTCTCAATATCCCCAGTGCTCGAAGGTTTTTATGTCAGATGCAGGAAAATGGAGGCTTACCATTTCTTTAGCCAGGGGGATTCCATAACCCCAGACCCCCCCCCCCGTTTTTACACTTTTTCCTAAAATGTTGAGTACTTTACACCGTATTTTTTTGAAAATATGCTTTAAGGCTGAAAGTTCTGGGGGTGAAAGTATCACCGGAGGATGTAGAAGGCATGGAATACCCCCCCCCCTGCACGAAGGTCTTCATGTCAGTTGTAGGTAAAAGAAGACTTACCATATTTATTGTCCCCAGACCCACCGGTTCTGCATTCTTCCCTAAAATATTTAGTACTCCGCAATTTTTTGAAAATAGGCTTTGAGGCTGAACGTTTTGGGGGTGAAAGTATCACCGAGCGGTCTGGGGGGTATAGAATACCCCAGTGTACAAAGGTCTTTATGTCAGTTGTAGAAAAATGAAAACTTACAATTTCTCTTGCCTGGGGAGTACTTAAATATCCCCCAGACCCCTCGGTTCTACATTCTTCCCCAAAATGTTGAGTATTTTTTGAAAATAGGCTTAAAGGTTGAACGTTCTGGGGGCGGAAGTATCACCTCGAGGCTGGGGGTATAGAATTCATGGTAAACATTTTTCAAAACGAGAAATAATGTATTCCAGCCTTAGGGCTGAACGTTTTGAAAGTGAAAGTATCACCATGAGCCTGGGGGATATGGGGGGGAGTCTGTTCGTGAACACGAAATATTCGCTAACGGAAAATTAAGCGCGGAAATCCTTAAGGATGTTTAAAAATGTGTTTTGAAGGCCTTCTAACACTTTGGGAAGTTCATAGCGACTCTTAACACTAAAGCCTTTAGCTTCTTGATGACCTTTGGCTTTAAAATACCCTGAACGGCACCTAGACTCACAATACTCGCAATCATTCTTACTGTCAGGTCCAATTTTGGGTATTAAATATTCTGTTAAAGGCCCTTAAGAGCTCTCAAGAGCTTCTACTGGACCGTCAAAGGCTTTAAAAGCTGGACCGAAGACTTATGGAAACTTTTTAAGGCTATTGGAGACTATTTTCGTTTCTTAAATGCTACTAAAGGCCTTTAAAGATTCCTTGAGGCACCCATCAAGTTTTTTAGAATCCTTACCAGACCAAAAGGTTACCCCTATAGGCTCGTTAGAAGATTCTTACAAGCCCTTGAAGGTTTGACTCTAAAAATCCCCTTTGTTTATTATCTCTAAGTCAAGTTCTAAAGATACCTACATTAGAGACTGTTGTCAATTTCTCAAGAATCAGAAACAGAGTATCTCTTTCTTTTTCTTTTATTTTAAAGGTATCCCTAACCAGAGTTGGGCAGTATTCGATTTTGTAAATACTTTTTAGTATTCAAATCCTTTAAAGTATTCAAATACTTTGTAATTAAATACTTTTATGGAAGCAGTATTTGTATTTGTAACTCAAATACTTTCACAAATATTTAGTATTCGAATACTTCGCAAAGTATTTGAATACTTAACCTTCCTTTTTTACCAAAAATCGACTACACCAAAATTTCACGGGAAAACACTTTTTCTTATTAATTTTGGTGCGTAGAATCCAAAACAATTCGTACTTTTTCGATCAGACTTCTCAATCCAAAGTTTATAGACTAGAAACCAATTTCGAAAGAAAATTCAAAGGGCTGTAACTTTTGAACTAGTAGCCCAATCTTGGAACTGTTTGAAATTATGGATTCTACAGGCCACATTCTATAAGAAAAATTTTTTTCCGGGTCGATCTGAGAAAATTTTTTTTTCTGGGCAAAAAAAAGGCAGTGTATAACCTTCCTTTTTTCCAAAAATCGACTGCCCCAAAATTTCTCGGGAAAACACTTTTTCTTATTAATTTTGGTGCGTAGAATCCAAAACAATTCGTACTTCTTCGATCACTTCTTAATCAAAAGTTATAGACTAGAAACCAATTTCGAAAGAAAATTCAAAGGGCTGTAACTTTTGAACTAGTAGCCCAATCTCGGAACTGTTTGAAATTATGGATTCTACAGGCCACATTCTATAAGAAAATTTTTTTTCCGGATCGATCTGAGACAATTTTTTTTTCGGGGCCCAAAAAAAGGCAGTTATTACCTTCCCTCTTTACCAAAAATCGACTGCACCAAAATTTCTCGGGAAAACACTTTTTCTTATTAATTTTGATGCGTAGAATCCAAAACAATTCGTACTTTTTCGATCTGACTTCTCAATCAAAAGTTATAGACTAGAAACCAATTTCGAAAAAAAAATTGAAAGGGCTGTAACTTTTGAACTATCAAAGATTGGCCCTCACTTACCTATAATTATTGATTGCCGGAGGAGAATCCGGCGGCGCACCCTGCACATCGGGTGGCAATATCGTAAATGCACCCGGCGATAGGTACCTCAGTTGCAGTTCCGCCTCGAAGGTCCTTCCGGCCCGACGGGTTTGCTGCTGCTGCTGGCGCAGCTGACTGTCTTCATCCGAGGACCACATCTTCGAGCTTCATCATCCGCACCTCGACACACTCAGCACATCGACCGAACCATCACCATCGTCTACTGCCTGAAATGAAAATTATCGTTTGAATCTTTGATTAGTAAATAATTATTAACCGAAACTGAATTGCTTTTTGTGAAATCTAATGCATTCTTGAGTAAGCGGCGCGTGCTTTCACTGGTTCTGTGTAGAAATTGGAAATATATAAGAGTCATAAATATTAAAATTAGTTTACATTATAACTAGGGCGTAACGTGCAATTATTATTACAACGCGATGCGTTTTCAATTTTTACACGTTAGCATTCGTGTACTTAATTAGTGTTCACCATTCTTGGTTAACGGCTCTGATAGAAAAAGAGTTTGTGAAGAAGCACTACGCAGTCTCTGTCATCAGAACTAGCAAGACCCTTCCAAGGTGTTTCCACAGTACCTATATCTCCAAAATTTACTAGAAGCAGCATTGTCAAGTGCTGCAAAGGTATCTAGGATCTCAACATATTCTACAAAATTTCTACAAAATCTTTATGGAATCCATACGGAATCTGGAGAGAACCGATGCAGAGTTTCCACAACATATCTACAGAATACCTAAAGAATATCCACATATCTACGGAATATCTACGGAATATTTACGGAATATCTACGGAATATCTACGGAATATATACGGAATATCTACGGAATTTCTACGGAATATCTACGGAATATCTACGGAATATCTACGGAATATCTACGGAATATCTGTGGAATATCTACGGAATATCTACGGAATATCTACGGAATATCTACGGAATTACTAAGGAATTTCTACGGAAAATCTACGGAATATCTAAGAAATGTACGGAATATCTACGGAATACGTACCTACGGAATATCTACGGAACATCTACGAAATATCTACAAAGTATCTATAGAATATTTACAGAATACCTACATAATCTCAACATAATCTGCAGAATCCACCGACTCTCTGCAGTTTAAAGATACTATTAGATAATCCTCACGGAAACTTACAGGGTACCTACGGAATACGCAAAATAGATACAGAACTTGCTAAATCCTTACAGAATCTCCACAGGACCTACACAGGGTGTCCACAAAATATTTTAAAAATCTCTGCATGATCTGTAGAATTTACCAACTCTGCAGAATCAAAAGTGTTTCTATAAAACTGTGACGAAATCCTTACGCAATATAAGATCTTTACAGTGTCTCTACGAAGACTGCAGTAACTTTATGATTCTTACGGAATTTGTCAGTTTTTCGGAAACCATTCGAGAATTTCCACGAAATCCATAGGGAACCTCCAAAGGACCGATTGAGGGTTTTCAAAAAAGTATCTACAGAATACTACACAGAAATTGTATGTATATTCCGCAAATGCCGCAGATTTTATATTACTTAAAAGTATTAGTTCTACAGAGATTCTTTAGATTCTGTAGAGAATCAGTACAGATTGCGTACAGATTATATGTATATTCATTTATTTCATTTGAGTTTGTTATTTTAGTGTCTATTTTTCCATTTAGCATTGTTTTAATGATTTAATTTCTTGTTTACATTTTGTCATTCATCTAAATTTGTTTATTTAAATTATAAGATAAAAATTGTCTTAAAATTAAGGCACATCTGGCCGAGTGCATTTAAGTGCTATCTGGTCGTTTTGCGATAAGAAATGTTATCGGGCGTAATTTAATTACTTATCGCGGTAAAGGTAACGAAGATATAGGTGCACGATTCTTTTGAGCATTAATTTAGGCGTACGTGCGGAGACGCGACTCGAATTCCGTTTTGGTAACGTAAAAAAAATTAAACTGGTATTGATCAGAACAATATCATCTTATAACTATTTAAGGTATGCAGTTTTACATGCCGGAAACATGAATGGTTTTATTACTGGGTGCCAGGGTTTTTGTCCCGAAGAAGGTTTCTCTTCCACCCAACTGAATGATGCAGGCTATGTAAACATACTTAGTGATGACGTTATAATAATAAATCCTACCATACTATGAAACCCTTACGAAATGTAAAATCTCTACGGTCTCTAGGGACAAATTTCATGTTCAGAATCCTTAAATAATCTCATTTTCACATAATCGTTCTACAGTGTCTACGGAGCACAAATTCTCAAGAAAATCACTGCAATTTGCTTACGGAATTTCTAGACCATCTATGCACGATATCCACGGAATCTCTACATAATAAACAATACTGTATTTACTCATGTATTGTGCAGACTAAAAGTATTATATAAGCAAGCTTTATAATGGATAACTTAATTACATCGCCCAGATCTCCTTCGTCATCAATGTTAATTGATTTCTGCATAAATCTAAACGGTTTGGTAACGGTGTCGTTTTACAGTGCCGAATTTGACCCCCTTTTCAGAAAAAAAAACCCAATCACCGTAATCTGCAGTGCCATTTGCGCGTGCGGTCCCCTCTGCGCCATTAAACAAACTTTCACCCGCATTAATTTCGAACGAGGAAGACGTAATCGTGATGAAATCGAGCTAATTAGGAACGCTTCATTATAACAATTCGTAATTACAAACGTGTAAAATGTATTCGCGACAAAATGGTCGATTTTCTTTTCTACTCGGAGCTTTCTCTGGGCCCGACGAGATTAAAGCGGTGGCGTTCTGGCCAATTGTCTCGTACAGATTTTAGGCATTTGTGCTCGACACGTTTTTTTCAATTTGGATTAGTGGTATTAGGCGATGGTTCGGTGGCCTCTCTGGGAGGTATCGTCGGATGGTTGTTTAACTAATTCGCTTCCTTGGTTCCTTCCGTTTTGACTCAATTGTAGTAATTACGACAATATTAAGCTTGTAATGTTTATAGCCTCGTTTTCGTCCTTAGAACATCATAAGTAGTTTCTTAAACTGTCATCAGGTGAGGGTTTTCTCTTTTCATTGAAGCTTCGATCGGTGCTCTAGGTCTTTTGATCTCCTTTTATAAGAAAATTGTGAAAAGAATTCAATTAACATGCATTAATAGAGTGTATTGTTAGTACTGAATTGGCTATTAGGAGCACCTAATACGCAAAAGGCCTCCTTGAGTCGATGCTATCCTGATTACCTATTGTTGTGGGTGATTGAAAAGGAATTAGGGAAACAGGTACGATGTTCCACCTTTTACACCTTCTTGCGCTTATGTAACCCACATAACGAATTTTTAAAAGATAATTGGTATCGGTAGGAGAGCGACACGCAAAGTTCTGATAAAAACCGTTTTAAGAGGAGTTACTGGTATTTGAGGGCGTGTTTGCTTATCAATTATGTTCCATTTTACACTGTCTCTCTTTGTGACTCTGATACAACTACTAGCTATTTAAGTAAAAGTCTGGTGGGAGACAGAGATTCTTGTGAAATCCATAGAATGCCCCCCAGCGTTCAGAAGATCTTATGATATGTGTAAGGAAAGGAATATTGAACCTTTCTTCTTCCTGGGGGGTATTCCATACCCCCCAGACCCCCCGGTTTTACTCGCTTCCCCCACATATTTAGTACCTCTGGCACCTGTATCGTCATTTTTACAAAGTGGCCATCAAATGTAACACCAGACATCTGTGGGGATGGGGATGCTCCCCAGGAAACGAACATTGGGTTCTTTTTGAAAAGTATAACGGAGTCCCTAGGGCTGAATGTTTTAAGGGGGAATGCTGCACCGGGGGGTCTGGGGGGCATGGAATGCCCCCCAGCTTTCAGAAGATCTTATGATATGTGTAAGGAAAGGAATATTAAACCTTTCTTGTTCCTGGGGGGTATTCCATACCCCCCAGACCCTCCGGTTTTACACGCTTCCCCAACATATTTAGTACCTCTGGCACCTGTATCGTTATTTTTACAAAGTGGCCATCAAATGTAACACCAGACACCTGTGGGGGTGGGGTGCTCCCCAGGAAACGAACATTGGGTTCTTTTTGAAAACTATAACGGAATCCCTAGGGCTGAATGTTTTAAGGGGGAAATACTGCACCGGAGGGGGTGGGGGGCATAGCTTTCAGAAGATCTTATGATATGTGTAAGGAAAGGAATATTAAACCTTTCTTGTTCCTGGGGGGTATTCCATACCCCCAGACCCCCCCGGTTTTACACGCTTCCCCCACATATTTAGTACCTCTGGCACCTGTATCGTCATTTTTACAAAGTGGCCATCAAATGTAACACCAGACATCTGTGGGGATGGGGATGCTCCCCAGGAAACGAACATTGGGTTCTTTTTGAAAACTATAACGGGGTCCCTAGGGCTGAATGTTTTAAGGGGGGAATGCTGCACCGGGGGGTCAGCTTATGGAAGATCTTACGATATGTTTAAGGAAAGGAATATTAAACCTTTCTTGTTCCTGGGGGGTATTCCATACCCCCCAGACCCCCCGGTTTACACGCTTCCCCCACATATTTAGTACCTCTTGCATCTGTATCGTCATTTTTACAAAGTGGCCATCAAATGTAACACCAGACACCTGTGGGGTTGGGGTGCTCCCCAGGAAACGAACATTGGGTTCTTTTTGAAAAACTACATGGAATACCCCCAGCGTTCACGAAGATCATTAAATGATATGTGTAAAGGAAAGGAATATTAAACCTTTCTTGTTTCCTTGGGGGGTTAATTCCATACCCCCAAGACCCTCCGGTTTTTACAGGCGTTCCCAACATGTTAGTACCTTTGGCACCTGTATCGTAATTTTTTAAAAAAAGGCCATGAAATGTAACACCAAGACATCTCTGGGGTTGGGGATACTCCTCAGGAGACACGTACATGCGGTGTTCTTTTTGAAAACTGTAACAGAGTCCTTAGGGCTGAAAGTTTTAGGGGGGAATTGTTTGCAGCCGGGGGGTCTGGGGAGCAATGGGAATACCCCCCAGCGTTCAGAAGATCTTATGATATGTGTAAGGAAAGGAATATTAAACCTTTCTTGTTCCTGGGGGTTATTCCATACCCCCCAGACCCTCCGGTTTTACAGGCTTCCCCAACATGTTTTAGTACCTTTGGCACCTGTATCGTAATTTTTAAAAAAAGGCCATGAAATGTAACACCAGACATCTCTGGGGGTGGGGATACTCCTCAGGAGACGTACATGCGGTGTTCTTTTTGAAAACTGTAACAGAGTCCTTAGGGCTGAAAGTTTTAGGGGGGATTGTTGCACCGGGGGGTCTGGGGAGCATGGAATGCCCCCAGCGTTCAGAAGATCTTAGATATGTGTAAGGAAAGGAACATTAAATCTTTGTTCTTCCTGGGGGGTATTCCATACCCCCCAGACTCCCCGGTTTTACACGCTTCCCCAACATATTTAGTACCTTTGGCACCTGTATCGTAATTTTTAAAAAAAGGCCATGAAATGTAACACCAGACATCTCTGGGGGTGGGGATACTCCTCAGGAGACGTACATGCGGTGTTCTTTTTGAAAACTGTAACAGAGTCCTTAGGGCTGAAAGTTTTAGGGGGGATTGTTGCACCGGGGGGTCTGGGGAGCATGGAATGCCCCCCAGCGTTCAGAAGATCTTAGATATGTGTAAGGAAAGGAACATTAAATCTTTGTTCTTCCTGGGGGGTATTCCATACCCCCCAGACTCCCCGGTTTTACACGCTTCCCCAACATATTTAGTACCTTTGGCACCTGTATCGTAATTTTTAAAAAAAGGTCATGAAATGTAACACCAGACATCTGGGGGGGTGGGGATGCTCTCCAGGAAACGAACATTGGGTTCTTTTTGAAAACTATAACTGAGTCCCTAGGGCTGAATGTTTTAAGGGGGGAGTGCTGTACCGGGGGGTTTGGGGGGCATGGCCCCAGCATTAAGAAAATCTTATGATATGTGCAAGGAAAGGAAAATTAAACCTTTCTTGTTCCTGGGGGGTATTTCATACCCCCTAGACCCCCCGGTTTTACACGCTTCCCCCATATAATTTGTACCTTTGGCACCTGTATCGTAATTTTTAAAAAAAAGGCCATGAAATGTAACACCAGACATCTGTGGGGGTGGGGATGCTCCCCAGGAAACGAACATTGGGTTCTTTTTGAAAAACTATATCGGAGTCCCTAGGGCTGAATGTTTTAAGGGGGAACGCTGTACCGGGGGGTCTGGGGGGCATGGAATGCCCCCCAGCATTCAGAAAATCTTATGATATGTGTAAGGAAAGGAAAGTTATACCTTTTTTGTTCCTGGGGGGTATTTCATACCCCCCAAACCCCCCGGTTTTACACGCTTCCCCCACCTACCTTTGGCACCTGTATCGTAATTTTTAGAAAAGGGTCATCAAATGTAACACCAGACATCTGTGGAGGTGGGGATGCTGCTCAGGAAACGAACATGCAGTGTTCTTTTTGAAAACCACACCGGGGGGTCTGGGGGCATAGAATGCCCTCCAGTGTTCAGAAGATCTTATGATATGTGTAAGGAAAGGAATTTTTAACCTTTCTTTTTCCTGGGGGGTATTCCATAAAGCATCTCTTTCTTTCGGCGTATGTGTCTTACTGAATTTACTTTTCTCAATTAAGTGCTGTGTGTTTCATCGAACCCAAAGTGCGACTCAGCTTAGAGTTTTCATGATAATTTTCTTTCTGGTGATACCTAAATTATATTCGGTGTTATCCAAGTTTTTCCTAAATTAATAAAATTAGGTCTTTATCGAGATTGTTTTTTAATTGTAGCTGAGGTCGGACGTGACTTAAACAATGTACCTATAAATAATCGAGAGCCAGCTGGATTGGTCTTTTGTGGGTGGCTTAGTGACCGTTTACCATCGCACACAGCATCCGTATCTACACGTGTCATCCCTTACGAATCGACAATTAAATTCATACACGTGAATTTTATTTTTCTTAACAAAATTGCCCTCTATTCTTTAGTGGATGTAGTGGGGACAAACAAATCCAAATTAGGGTGTTCTGGTACGAATTATCTTCACACAGCGTACGGGTACACATCAAGTTTTTTAAGGGATGATGTGTGCAGCAAATTTAATATCAATCGCAACATTTGATGTAATTAGTGTCCAAATACCCCTAAATAGAATTTCTAATTATATGCATATTTATTGCTGTATCGTTACTGCAAAGAAATATGCAGTTTTTGGTAACTTCACACAGCTCTCTTCGGAGGAGGATTTAGTTTTGGGAATATCAAATACCAAGAGATGACATTCCCGATTTGGATCCCACACGAGGGAAGTGTATAAATAGGAAACGCTTCTTTTTGACTTTTTTTCTTTTTCAAACGAAATTTCTTTTCACGTACCTACACCATCAGTGATTAATTGAACTAATTGCGATAATACAAGTAACAGTAAATGAAAACATTCATGCTCCAAATGGAAAATGCGCTCATAAGCATGACTACCCCTTTCGATTCAATCTATAGGTACGTGGAAATGCATTTCTTTTTTAAAAGTTTCGAAAATAGCTCGACTATTTTTACAAGGCGGGCATCGGGCCGGATACAGTTCTCATCAGATTCCGACGAAATTTGAAATTCTTCTTCTCCTGTACAGAAAACACGCGCGCCTTTCGGCTTCGATTATTACACCGAACAAGACATATGCTAATCTTTTTCGCATTGATTTTTTTTAATTTATGCAATTGTATAATTCGAAAGGTAGAGTCCACTACCCAGGCGTTTTACTTACCCGAAACGCAGAAAATCAACCCATCAAAACCGCCGAAACGAAAACAAAACATTGCATCGCCAAAATTTTAATCACATGTTGCACTGCTATTTAATTAAAGGAGCGTAATGAACGGCGGGCACACTTCCATTCAACTAAGCTAATTAAGACGCGACATTTCTAAAAAAAAAATAGGAAGAAAATTACGTTTAGCGTCGGGTGGATAGGAACTGTTTAAATACATTCGTATCAGAGCGCAGGTGGCAAACTGCGCGCCACACGATGCTGCCGCCTTTTTTCCTTCCACGTTCCTTTAGCCCACTTTTAGGTTTCATACACACTAATGATATACCACCCTCCCATCATTTACGTCAGATTGTACTTTAGTCGAGCTTTGCGAAGAGATTTTTTCGAATGCGTCACGCACGGTCAGTCTTTATGTAAACCGAAATCGAACAGATTTGACCATGTTTATTTTTACTTTGGGGGTCGCAGGTCGATTCGAGACTTTGAAATTCCGAGAGGTCACTCCCGATTTTTTGAAGCAAGACCAATGCCGATCGTTTTGAGTTTACCATGAATGAAGCGGTAAAAACTGTAACCATTTGAGCTACGACACCTAATTCCGTGATTGTCTTCGACAATCAACTGCAGGCTCGAAACCCCGAAACCAGGGGCGGGCTACCTATCTCGCCGGAGCGGGATTACGCTAATCAAAGCTCTTCAGTATCTTGTTTTTTGTTAAATTTGCCTACAAGACCATGTAATTTTCCATCTTATTTTTAACAAAAAGACTCTATTGCACCAAAGATGATCCTGTGTATTTCACCCTTTCTTAGAATCTTGGTACCTGCTTACTTGACCCATAATTCCCAAAACTGTTACCTCTTGAAGTCTACATGCTACTTTTTGTGATGTTATAATTTTATGTTACGCATTCACATCATTACAAACTTACTACACAATTTAATATAAATTTGACGGCTGGTTTTTTTATCGGTAAGTTCTTTTTTCCCCAGCCTATTTCTATTCTTATTCGGTGAACTACCATTTTCAAAGTTTATTTTTCCAATGTAATTTATTTCGACTTAAATTTCCGTGCTTTTACAATCAATAATAATAACAATCATTATTAAACAAACTTTTAACAATTTCCCTACCTTCCTTTTTTACCAAAAATCGACTGCTCCAAAATTTCTCGGAAAACACTTTTCTCACTAATTTTCGTGCGTAGAATCCAAAACGATTCGTACTTTTTCGATCAGGCCCCCCCAATCAAAAGTTATGGACTAATCAATTTCGACACAACGTTCAAAGGGCTGTAACTTATGATCTAGTAGTCCAATCTTGGAACTGTTTGAAATTGTGGATTCTACGGGCCAGACTCTATAAGAAAATGTTTTTTCCCGGTCGATCTCAGACAATTTTTTTTTGGCCTCAAAAAAGGCAGTGTATTACCTTCCTTTTTTACCAAAAATCGACTGCTCCAAAATTTCTCGGGAAAACACTTTTTCTCACTAATTTTGGTGCGTAGAATCCAAAACGATTCGTACTTTTTCGATCAGGCCCCTCAATCAAAAGTTATGGACTAATTACAAATTTCGACAAAAAGTTCAAAGGGCTGTAACTTTTGATCTAGTAGTCCAATCTTGGAACTGTTTGAAATTATGGATTCTACGGGCCAAACTCTATAAGAAAATGTTTTTTCCCGGTCGATCTCAGACAATTTTTTTCCGGCCTCAAAAAAAGGCAGTGTATTACCTTCCTTTTTTACCAAAAATCGACTGCTCCAAAATTTCTCGGGAAAACACTTTTTCTCACTAATTTTGGTGCGTAGAATCCAAAACGATTCGTACTTTTTCGATCAGGCCCCTCAATCAAAAGTTATGGACTAATTACAAATTTCGACAAAAAGTTCAAAGGGCTGTAACTTTTGATCTAGTAGTCCAATCTTGGAACTGTTTGAAATTATGGATTCTACGGGCCAAACTCTATAAGAAAATGTTTTTTCCCGGTCGATCTCAGACAATTTTTTTTCCGGCCTCAAAAAAAGGCAGTGTATTACCTTCCTTTTTACCAAAAATCGACTGCTCCAAAATTTCTCGGGAAAACACTTTTTCTCACTAATTTTGGTGCGTAGAATCCAAAACGATTCGTACTTTTTCGATCAGGCCCCCCATTCAAAAGTTATGGACTAAATACAAATTTCGACAATATATATATAGCGTATTTTTAGGAGTCACCGTTGGGTCTTAGAGGCTTTGCCTTTCAAAGCCTTTAACCCTCCTTAAGGGTGGTTAAACTTAAAAGCGACTTTGAAAAGTACTTGAGCGCTTTTAAAGATCTTAAAAGGCTTTTCACGATTTTAAGGAGTCATGAGAGTCGTTATGGGTGGATTAGAATCAGGTTTCAGTAAGTGTTTTCTTATCAATCAATCAATCAAAGGTTACTTTAAAGACCCGGTCCTTAAATGTTTTATAAGGTCTACAAGTTTCTTGAAATTTTTTGATCCTTTGGACGCTACTGTAAAAGACCTTTAAAAAACCCATTAAACTTCTATAAAGCCTTTAAAGATATTTGAATTCATTTTAAATGCCTTTATGTACTACAAAAACTAATTAAAGGCTATTACGGGATAGAAGGTCTTTAAAACTGACACAGGAGGAGCTTAAGGGACTCCTCGTATATCTTGAAGCCTAACAAACACTAACAATCCTTAGATTTACATCTATCACCAAGTATCAAATACTTTCAGGGCTCTTAGGGTATTTTAAAGGATCTTTAAACCCTCTAAAGGCCTTTGGAATGCTCTTACCAAATAATAGGGCGTTTTCAAAATTTTTGGATACTCTCAATAGAAAAAAAAATGCTTTAAAGGCTTGGTCCTTTTGGATGATTTTAAGGGATCATTGGGATTCTACACGTTTAGCTAAGGGAGATTTGATGACCATGTTCCAAAAGCAACTGTCATGATTGTTTTCGAGAAAAATCAAGTGATACCTTTTGTGTGCTGGTGGTAGGGGGTGGGGTTATTGCCCTCGGTGGGACGCTCTCCCCCCAAAAAGTTTACGAAAATGAATATGTTTATGATTTTTGTGGAAATTGTCAAAATCTTTATTTAGTCCATAACTTTTGATTGAGAGGTCTGATCAAAAAAGTACAAATTGATTTGGATTCTACGCACCCAAATTAATAAGAAAAAGTGTTTTCCCGAGAAATTTTGGTGTAGTCGATTGTTGGTAAAAAAGGAAGGTTATACACTGCCTTTTTTTTGAGCCCCGAAAAAAAAATTGTCTCAGATCGATCCGGAAAAAAAATGTTCTTATAGAATGTGGCCTGTAGAATCCATAATTTCAAACAGTTCCAAGATTGGGCTACTAGTTCAAAAGTTACAGCCCTTTGAATTTTTTTCGAAATTGGTTTCTAGTCTATAACTTTTGATTGAGAAGTCTGATCGAAAAAGTACGAATTGTTTTGGATTCTACGCCCCAAAATTAATAAAAAAAAGTGTTTTCCCGAGAAATTTTGGTGTAGTCGATTTTTGGTAAAAAAGGAAGGTTATACACTGCCTTTTTTGAGCCCCGAAAAAAAATTGTCTCAGATCGACCCGGAAAAAAAATTTTCTTATAGAATGTGGCCTGTAGATTCCATAATTTCAAACAGTTCCAAGATTGGGCTACTAGTTCAAAAGTTACAGCCCTTTGAATTTTTTTTCGAAATTGGTTTCTAGTCTATAACTCTTGATTGAGAAGTCTGATCGAAAAAGTACAAATTGATTTGGATTCTACGCACCAAAATTAATAAGAAAAAGTGTTTCTCCGAGAAATTTTGGAGTAGTCGATATGTACCACCGGGGGGTTTGGAGGGTATGGAATACCCCCCAGGGGTAAGGTAGATTTGATGACCTTATCCCAGTAGCAACTGTCATGGTAATTTTTGGGGAAACTTAATCAATTCCTTCTGTGTGCTGGGAGGCTTCCTACTGTTCCTGGTTTTCTCATGGTTTCCTCTATTCTTCGGTACTGTTCGATCGTTTCCTTTTCAAGAAGCAGGTAAGTCATTAGGTCAAATGTGTCGGTTTGAAAAAAGTGACCTCGTGGCCAAAATTCTTAAGCTGAACAACAAAGCGTAATCGCCGAAACTGTTAGATCTTTATACGCAACAAAAGTCCCAAACGCACCACCTGTAAATCAATATAGCGTACAACGTCCTAATTACAATATTGCATAATGCCATGCAGCAGATGTATGGTCGAGGAATAATTACTGCCGTTCCGGTTCCGGCAAAAGGAAGCACACTTTATACTCATGAAGACGGTCGTTGCCCTCCACATGATCTATAAGCACCTGACTTGCAAAATTCTTTGTTGTCAAACACTACGCCACTACGATTTGCATTTTAAAAGGCGCCCCGTGACCTAATTAGATCCCTTTTACGCTTTTCGAAAAATTAATTCGCATAATGCATTATTGACAAGATCATTTCGTCTTATGATAAATGGATCGGAATCATGGCAAGGTTATTATTATTAAATTGATTTTATTACAAAAAGTACAAGGTGTAGAATTTAATAGCCATCATTCATGACGCACCTTCCACTAATGTGTTAACCGCAGTGGAAAGTTGGCAATTTTACATGCATTAAGTAACTTAAAACCAACCCTTATGTTTATTAGTCATCTTATGTACAAAAAAAACGCACGCTAGAGTTTCATCAGGGTGAAAATTGCGCCTTTTCTTTTTCCTTTACAAATTTTCAGGCATTAGATCCATACACCATCCAGGTCTTGAGTGCATTACATCATTTTCATTAGTTTTTCGTTTTTCCTGCGAATTTTGCTCTCGCATAGCCCACAGATGCACTCTGTACGTACCATGGACATAATGAATGTTTGTGAACTGACGTACAGTGTACCTTTTATGGACGCACATTGTACCTAACATGTACTTATGTATAGTATTTAATTACGCACATTGTTGATATTATTATATACATTTTACGTACATAAGAAGTACATAGTAGTGAAAAAGTAACTCCCGGAGAATACTCGCTTATTTGGATCTTACCCTTTCGAAGAAAGATTCGCGTTCAGAAGAATTCGATCCAGTTTGGAAAAATCAGGCATGTACTCACTTCCAGATCTACCCCCGGGGAAAAATTCGCCACTGTCAAATACTCACATACTAACAAAGTACTTTTCCGAACAAAAACCTCCAAAGCAACCAGATCCAGAAGAACTGCTCTTGGAATGATTGATCCAACTCCAGAGGTTCTTTCCCTTTTCGCCTCCGATATTTTCTGCTCCGGGAAAAATTCGTAACTACTCAATTAAATCGCATACCAATGAGATTACGTTTTGCTTTAATACTTCAATTCAATCATATGTCAGTTTGGCATCATTGCGGTCAGGAACAAGGATAGCGTTATTTATTTATCTTTATTTTTTTGAGTGGGCGGGGTTTCAGCGAAGGCTGCCCTATCTTGGTACATGCTTACCTGGCCCATAATTCCCAAAACTTGTTTTTAACCCATGATACCTCCTGAAATCTACAGGCTACCTTTTTTTGAAGTTATAATTTTATATTATACGCATTCATATCATTACAAACAATTAATATTACTACACAATTTAATATTAATTTGACGGCTGGTTTTTTTATTGGTAAGTTCTTTTTTTCCCCAGCCTATTTCTATTTTTATTCGGTGAACTACCATTTTCAAAGATTATTTTTGCAATGTAATTTATTGTTGACTTAAATTTCAGAGCTTTTTACAATCATAATAACCACGATAATTTTACTAGTCAGCAAACATTTGAGAGGTTCCACACTGTATATACAACTTAAACGACGATACATACATTTTTGAGAGTTGGCAACCATGCAATTTGTAGGTGGGGAAAAAGCTGCCGCGCCACCTAGAAAGCACGAACGGGAGTTACGTTTGGCATCACGGCCTTCTTTTTTTTTAAGGTCTTATTCTGTGTTTGGCATCTTGTCTTGAATGGCAGTCGTGAACGCGTCGTTCCATAAATGTTTGTTGTTATTTTGTGTTATTTAATACAGGCAGTAATTTTTGCATTTCTATATATCGTATTTGTTGTTTTGTATGCCGCATTTTATATTTTTTGTGTGTTTCAATCTTTGTTTTTGAAATTCAGTGGCGTACCTAGGTATTTTTCGAAGCGGTGCCGGATCAGGTTTTGGGCCTTATTAGTTACCATTGAGCTCTAAGTAATAAAACACTGTACATTTTTGAGAGAAACTTTACACGAAATTTTAAAAGCACTGCACTACTTAAATTTTAAAATAATGCTTTGAATAACGAAGTCTTTCACTCAACGAAGAATAGAAATACATTTATTTATCATGTTTTCAATTCTCGCGTCAAATTTAGCTATGACATAGGGTACAAGTCGTAGAAATGATTGCGTCTTAGAATAAGGGTGCAAATGCTGGTCACACTAATACAGACTATTGTATAGATCACAAATAGTATTATTATTATTAGTTTAAAATTTGCAGCCTTTTCCTACCGCTGTAACTTTGTTCTACAAGGGCCATTCAGAAAGTAACAGACATTTTGAAATAAAAAATTAAGAAAGTGTAAGAAACAACTGTTATTATATACACTCTTAGGCTGTTTTTCAACATAGTCGCCATTCATATTGAGGTACTTAACATAGCGTGGTACAAGTGTTTTGATTCAAACTTTGTATACATCCGCCGACTGTGGGGGCGTCAGAAGTGGGTACCGACAAAAGGGAATATGGTAGCCCCCGACAAGATTTTATTGATTGTGGAGTCAAAACTGGCTAATAAAAGTACTGATCTGCCACACAAAAATGCCTTGGATCTCACACGGTGACTGATAATTTTTTTAATTTTTTAATAATGTTCCGTTCATCCTAAAGAAGCGTAAATTTAGTTTTCATTATATTTCAGCGCACCCTGTAGTCGACTTTAGCAAACTATTAGAATTTAACTGCTGTTCTTGTCTTTTATGACTGACCTATACGGTACACCACGTACTGCCCATCCCGACTTAGTGCCCTTTGTACTTTAGCGTCTCTGGCGTGCCCTCCCGCCTTTAGAGCGCGGTGCCGCGACACCTTTGGCACCTACCTAGTTACGCCACTGTTGAAATTTACTTTCTTTAACCGCAATGCAGAATCACATATTTGATACCGTTATGCTATTGTTTGTAATTGTTTACATTTTTGGTGTAATGTTTGCTTAATTTATGTCTATTAATGTTGATTACTTGGTCTTGTCCCTGAAGTTACATTCATATAAGTTTATGGTTTATTTTATTATGTGAAAATTACTGATTCGTTTGATGTATGTACTGACTTGTTGTTTGTTACTAACAATTTTCTCCGTGAGTGAAGCAGTCACGGGGGTGGTAAAAACTGTAGTCAACAGGGGCGGACTGGCACGGGGGGGGGGCGGGTGGCGATTGCCACCTGGCCTGTAGATCATAATGTCCCGTTGGAAATTTATAAGTATGTGCTGTATTTAGTTTCTTGCACTATTAATAAATTATTAACACGTTTCTCTAATTGGGGTTGATATTAGGTTGTTAAAAAAATCTGTTTTAATTGAAGTGTTTTACAATGAATTTATCATTTTTTGTCGTAGCATGAAAGTGCTGAAATACAATGATAGGCGACGCACCTCGTGTGGATTGTATATTTTGTTACTTTTAATTATCAGCTGCAATTTAAAAAAAAACTGTATGGTAATTGATTTTCGAGAAAGGAGTACTTTAAAATGTTTTTGTGGTGCACCTCAGAGCTACCCCCCCGGCACCTTCATTACTACACTAATACTTTAATGGCTTAATGGCCCTTAAGTACCCAGTCCGCCCCTGTGTATAACCTTCCTTTTTTACCAAAATTCGACTACACCAAAATTTCTCGGGAAAACACTTTTTCTTATTAATTTGGGTGCGTAGAATCCAAATCAATTCGTACTTTTTCGATCAGACCTCTCAATCAAAAGTTATAGACTAGAAACCAATTTCGAAAAAAAATTCAAAGGGCTGTAACTTTTGAACTAGTAGCCCAATTTTGGAACTGTTTAAAATTATGGATTCTACAGACCACATTCTATAAGAAAATTTTTTTTCCGGATCGATCTGAGCCAATTTTCTTTTCGGGGCCCAAAAAAAGGCAGTTTATTACCTACCTTTTTTAGCAAAAATCGACTGCATCAAAATTTCTCGGGAAAACACTTTTTCTTATTAATTTGGGTGCGTAGAATCCAAATAAATTCGTACTTTTTCGATCAGACTTCTCAATCAAAAGTTATAGACTAGAAACCAATTTCGAAAAAAAATTCAAAGGGCTGTAACTTTTGAACTAGTAGCCCAATCTTGGAACTTTTTGAAATTATGGATTCCACAGGCCACATTCTACAAGAAAATTATTTTTCCGGGTCGATCTGAGACAATTTTTTTTTCGGGGCTCAAAAAAAGGCAGTGTATAACCTTCCTTTTTTACCAAAAATCGACTACAACAAAATTTCTCGGGAAAACACTTTTTCTTATTAATTTGGGTGCGTAGAATCCAAATCAATTCGTACTTTTTCGATCAGACTTCTCAATCAAAAGTTATAGACTAGAAACCAATTCCGCCCCTGGTAGTCAAATTTGTGTTACGACACCTAATTCCGTGATTGTCTTCGACATCCAACTGTAGGTTCGAAACCCCGAAACCAGGGGCGGACTACCCATCTTGCAGGAGCGGGATTGCGCTAATCAAATCTCTTCAGTTTAGAATCTTGTGCGATAAATGAGTGGCGTAGTCAAATTTGTCTACAAGGCCATGTAATTCTCCATCTTGCTTTCAACAAAAGGACTTTATTGCACCAAAGACGAGTCACATCCTGTGGATTTCACTCTTTCTCAGAATCTTGGTACCTGCTCCTACCTGACCCATTGTCCCCAAAAACTTGCTTTTAACCTTGAGTGTAACTCACATTGTGTATATGCATTTACTATCTTTGTTAACTACTGCTTAAACGTTTACAAAATATGTTGTTAATTAACTTTTGGACTGTTTTAATCAAACTGCAAGGTTTTTTTTCGTTGCACTCTTTTTACCCTTATCAGTGACTTTTGCGAGAGTACGACACCTTTTGGCTTTGCTTACTTTGTTTATATTAATGTACATCAGCTAAATTTCCGGGCTTTCACAATCATAATAATTACGATTATTATTAAACAAACTTTTCACAATTTCAGTGTTTTATTTAACGTTCCTTCCCTACTGTGCTTCAGGTCAAAGCGTTGTCTACAACTAACGTAAGGGGGCCCTGCCTCAGATGTTGTATCACGTGCCACTTTTCAAATTTAAGCGGGATCTTGTTTAGTTTTGGATGGAATCGGCATTCGGGTGGCCATTTTTAAACGTTGCCGGGTTGACTTTATTTCCGTGTTCTTGTAGTGTGAAGTTAGCGTAGACCCTGGGGGTTAAGTACACTACACATTGCTTGTGGAAATTCTTTTAAATTAAGTAGGGTATTTAGTCTGATCATTCAACTTGTAAATACACAACAGTATAATTATTGTAATAGCATTGTATTATGTATTGTAATAGCTTTGAATAACATTTTTGGAAGCGCTGAATTTGTGCGTGCAGCCCCTCAGGTGAAGGGTCGCCGAAACGCGATGAAAGCAAACATAACCTTAAATTTTGAAACAACTTAACCACATGTAAATTTGTAAATAGGCGACAATGGAGGACCCTGACTCCGAATATGTAAAGCCAAAAATGTGGTACGAAGAGGTAATCGCCCCCTTTTGAAATTTTCAAAGTAACCTCGTAGTCAGATTTCAGATGCCGGACGAACACAAGAAGCACTGACGGACGACTTGGTAATTCAGTTAAAAACCGAAGCGGAAAAGAGTCTCATTGCCGATGCCGCAAATTACAACATTAGTAAGTGACTGTCGCAACGACAATCCATCATTGCGCTCCGTTTCAGAAAATTCCAAAGGAAACTCCAACTTCCAATGGATGAAGACCGTAATGGCGAAGGGTATCACCTCGGACAAAGTCGCCGCATACATCGTCACCATACAATCCAAGCCGCTGTACAATCTCGACGCCCTATCGAATTTGGTGGGAATGGTCAAAGTGGGAAAGAAAAACGAATTCGTCATAATAATCGGTAGCTCCCGCCCGCCCGGCCACCCGCCACTAACCGTTCCCATTTCAGACAGCTTAATCGAGTTGTTCTTGGAAAACCTGCTCATTCCTCATCGTAAATTGCTCTCGTTTCACACGCGCCCGCTGACCAAACTAGACGAGCTCTCGTCCGGAAACGCGGCGACGCGCAAGAAGTATCTCGCGTACTGGATCTTCGAGGACCAACTGAAGCAGATCTACACGACGTTCGTGCTGTCGTTGAACAAGATTTCGCACGACACCGTCGAGAAGAGTAAGGAGAAAGCGATCGGCGCGTTAAAAAAGCTACTGGCCGGTAACCCCGAGCAAGAGCAGGTGAGTGGATAATCCGGTTAGCGGTGCGAGAGGCATGGTTGGTTGTAGAATGAGCGGGGGCGGCTCGTGTAATTTTTAAATTTGAAAAAATGTCTATCCTACATTGGCTTGCTCGTATATTTTGAAGTGCCCTGTATATATTTGTCAAATGACTACAATCTATGGTTTAATACAAAAAAAAAGTTAAAGTTGCATTAAAGGGTTGAATCAGAACGCCGTGCAAAATGTCTATCCTACATTGGCTCGTTCGGATATTTTGAAGTGCCCTGTATATATTTTTCAAATGACTACATTCTATGGTTTGATACAAAAAAAAAGTTAAAGTTGCATTAAAGGGTTGAAACAGAACGCCGTGCAATCTATAGAAGTTCGTAACCTGAGAAGGGCTCCTTCCGCTAAGGTGTAACTTCCACCAATGAATTGCCATTTTCCCAAATCCTAAACTAGAGAGTGTTCCAAATGTCCAAAGTTGAACCGTGTCAAGGGTAGATTTAGACGCCGTATAAATAAGGTAAATTGTACTTTTGTGTTTCAATACGGACTGTGTAACTGTGAAACATTCTTGAAAGACGTTTAAAGGGATTTTTCTATTGTTATTAATATGAACCCGGTTAGAAGAAGGTTTTCCGTTTCAAATCATCAATTATTCTAACTGGGTTAACTATCTACAGGGTGAATTTTTTCATTTCGTCGTTTTCATATCGATTCAAATTTAACACACTTGCGCCGCTACTGTCGGGATGGTGAACCACTAATCCTTGGTCTTGATTTTCATAGGAGTGTAACGTAAATGTAATTACGTCGTTTATTTATTACAGTTAATTAACAACAAATCTTGAAATTGATTAATTTATATATAGAAATATGATTTATCACTGACGAACGCACGATTTATAACAGCGCGAACAATTTATGACTTCAGTGTTGAAACTGGAACGGAACTGAAACGCAATTCGTTTGCTTATATAGCAAACGCGCCTTCTTTCCCGAAAGATCTCGATCGCTTCCGAAGGCATACGATTATTCTAGAACCTTCTCACATCATATTTCTCGGAAAGATTAAGTCACATCCGCCTTCGTTCTTTATCCAAGAACCTCCACATGAGTCCGACATTTTCCTAGCAATCCCGACGCCCCTTGGAGGTCAATGGCGAAGGATTGAGCCTCTCCGTCGCAACGGAACTGGGTCCAGCTGCTCCGGTGGAGCCTTCTCCCTTACCTGACGCGGTCGGACCACTCGCTTTCGTCTCAAAAGTAACTTGCGAGATCCCCGCGTGCGGTTGAAAATTCTGCCATTGGAATTCCCAATAGGATGCCTCATTGGCACCGAGCGAGGGTTGCCCTACCAGGCTCCTCCCTACGGAAGAACGTCGTCCATTCGATCCGACCCCACAAATCGAATAACTTCGTATTTTTAGCGCATTTTGTAAGAATTAAAAACAAGTACAAATTGTGCACAACCCTTGTGCAGGTAAAACGCATTTTTTAAACACCCCTACGAAATTTCTTCCATAAATAAGAAAGTTGGCACTGCACATCCTTACACAAAACCAAATTTGCAAAATGGCGCTACATTTGCTTTTATCCCAAGTGGCTATATATCAAATTTCATTTAAATCCCTCCATAAATAAGAAAGTTGGCACTGCGCATGCGCAAAACGAAATTTTGAAAATGGCGTTAAATTTGGTTTTATTCCACGTGGCTATGTATCAAATTTTATTTAAATGCCCAATGGTTATATTTCTTCCAAACGCCCCAATCGCTTTCCCTTTGTAGGTAGTTTCCTTTGACAATTCACTCTTAAGATATAAGGAATTATAATCGATCACGACAAGGGATGGGGCAGGAAGACTATGGTTAGTATAAATTAATTCCTTTCGTTGAGACCTTTCATTAGAGTACCATGAAGGGTAAAACTAGTTCCACTCCCCCCCCCCCTTCCCCCTCCACCCCGTACTTTGGTAAGAGGACAAAAAGAAGGGCAGTAGTTTGTAGAAAACTGTTCCTTTCGTTGAGACCTTTAATTAGAATACAATGACAGATAAAAGTAATTTTTAACCCCCCCCCCCCCCAACCACCCCTCTGCCCCGTCGCTCCCCATTTCGAAAAAAGTCGCACGGGAAAGTAAAATCTGAAACCAATGGGTTTACTTTCATTAAACTCTCAGTAAAAATAATTCGTGGGGGGGGGGGGGGGCCTTTTAGACAGCGAAATTTGATGGCCGTCCGGCACACCTTCAAGGTATAGGCTACCTACTGCAAAAAATTCTAGGAGTCTAGGACCATTCCCCTAGAAGTAGTTCAAAACGATAGAAGTGGGTCGGAACGGACGGACGGGCAGACCGCAAACAATAGCACATTTTTTTTGTAATTCTTAAAAATGTGCTATTGTTTGCGTTTTGTCCATCCGTCCTTCCGGATCCACTTCTGCCGTTTCGAACTACTTCTAGAGAAATGGTCCTAGAGTCTAAACAGCCCCCCCCCCCCCTTCCGAATTATTTCCCGAAATGCTGTTTTTGAAAGTAAAACGTGGAAAACTTTTACATACGACAACCCATTGCTCTCAGATTTTGCATACGCATGCCTTTAGTGGTGCCAAGTTAAACTTTAGAAAATTGGGTTTGGGAGGGGGGGGGGGGGGGGTAAACACATGTTCTACCCTTCATGGTATTCGAATGAAAGGTCTCATCGAAATCAATTGGTTTGTACAAAGTATATCCCGTGCGACTCTTTTTTGAGATCTTTGAGCGACGGGGCCTGAGGAGGGGGCGTGGGGTAAAAAATTAATTTTATATTTCATTGTATTCTAATTAAAGGTCTCAACGAAAGGAACCGTTTTCTATCAACCACTACCCTTCTTTCTGTTCTCAAATTAAGGGGCGGAGGGGGGGGGCTAGTTTTATCCTTCATGGTACTCTAATGAAAGGTCTCAACGAAAGGAATTATTTTCTACCAAACATAACCCTCCTCCTCGACCTCTTATCGTGATCGGGTATATTCCCTTATACCTCAAGAGCGGATTGTCGGAAGAGGGTACTCACAAAGGACGATTGAGACGTCTGCAACAAATATATCCGTTGGTGATGTCAAAACAAAAGCTATTTCGATTAAAAAATGCGCTTTATTTGCACAAGAGTTGTTCATAGGCTACACCCCTCCCTCCCCCAGGTGATATAATCTTGCCTAATCCATGGCACCGTTCCCGTTTTCGAGTTACGAATTTTTTTAATATATTTATGTAATGATGATTTACTATCGTAAACGACTTGAACACAAACTCCTCACAAAAATGTCGCCTCCCCGCTCGATCTGTGCCCCCTCCCCTCCGCTCGCAAACTTTACGTTTTCCTCTAGGTCTCTCTGTAAAAGGCGTCACAATACAATAATTAAAAAATCTTTTAGAATTTGTTAAAGCATTTGGTAAACAAATTGGGAGATCCCTCGAAGAAGATCGCCTCAAAAGTGATCTACTTGCTGTCATCGCTGCTGAACCAGCACTCTAACATGCAAGGCGTCGTCCTTAACGAAGTGGAAAAAGTGCTGTTTCGCACGAACGTGTCCTCGAGAACGCAGTACTACGCCCTATGTTTCCTCTCCCAGTTCTATCTGAACCACGAGAACAAGGCGATCGCGGAGCACTTGATCGGACTGTACTTTTCGTTTTTTAAAGCCTGCGTGAAGAAGGTAGGTCTCCACAACTTGCACAAGTCCCGCGCATTCACTCTCTGGCTTAGGGCGAAGTGAACAGCAGGATGATGTCCGTATTGCTGATGGGAGTAAATCGGGCCTTTCCATACGCGGAACTGGAGCTTAGCAAGCTCTCCGATCATATCGACACAATGTACAGGATCGTGCACATCGCTAACTTTAACGTTAGCCTGCACGCGCTCCGCCTGCTTCATCAGGTTTCGTGCAAGGAGAATACCGTCAACGATCGGTAAGGCAAACTTGTATTCGGCGGCCAGTTTTTGTACGTGATCCTCAGGTTCCTATCGGCTTTGTATAGGAAACTATCCGATCCGCATATCACCAGTACGTTTCACCAGGCCATTCTACTCAGCCTGGTTTACAAAACATTAACGTACGACAAACAAGTGGACCGAATCAAGGTCATTATTAAGAGATTACTTCAGGTAAGTCAAATGCCGTTTACCTGTTCGGAAAAGGGATTTTTGTGACGTAAGGAGTAACCTTGTTTTATGGTGCAAGGTCGTATCCTTGGATTTCCCCGTCCAATGAATACTGTAGGAGCGTTCTTCAGTTACCAACACGATTACACACTTCAAAAGTAGTCACAGTAGTTCGATCAATACAATTTGTTTAACGGTATAAAATGACAAATTATGCATTGAAAATTTATAAAGAAGAAAACGCAAAGCGTTCAACCAAAACAAGAAAGCCCAAACGACATCCCGCTCACGAGGGTGTACTTCTTGCCCCTCATCGGGCCTGAGATCCACGGTGGCGATGTCCATTTTCGGTGGGGAGGATTGGAGACAAACACGTGCGTTAATAAAATTTCGTCCGATAAGACTCTCTTGGGCCAGATGTCTCTACATTTTAACACTCAATTACGCGTTTTATTATTAAATACACAAATCTAAATATACCATTTACAAAAGCGATAAAATTTAACCAAGAATTACGCAATTACAAACAATTCTAAAATAAAAAATATACACTTGATAACATAAAGTTTAGGTTGGTGCTGCTTTACCTCAAACCCCCAGACCACGAACTTGCACCGCAAAACGAGGTCGCTCCCTAGCGTAACCGGGAAATGCTCCTCGCAAAGGACGTCTTTGTGATTTAAAAGTGGTGGGGATTGTGTTTGTCATTCATAATTGCAATAAATTTAAGGTAGGTAACGGTGTGGTGATTTGTTTTCTTGTTAAGATCGGCAAACAATAAAAGATCACGGACATTTTACCTTTTACTTGCGCTATTTAGAAAACGCAACGCGTTAGGTAACAGATCATGATCATTTCACTTGTTCGTTTTGTGGGTGTGCGCACCAAACGTGCAACTTTACCTTGCCGCGTGATTATTTTTAATTGAAGTTGGTTACTTTAGATCGCAATTTATGCACAACCCTCAATGGCTTGCGGTGTACTATACGTCGTGTCCCAAGTTATACGACGAAACCATGCCCTGTCGGCGTTAATATTGCCAATCACTCCAGACGAAGATGACGATGATGAAGACGAGAAATACTCCGACGTAAAAGAGGAACCCGAAGTAAGCGAATTAAAAAAAAAATTGTTTTATTGCGACTTTAACTTGAAGGAGGAAACGAATAACGAATCCGAAGCCAAGCCGTGCTTCAGCTGGATACATAAAAAGAACTCGAATAAACGCCGCGTCGGCTACAACGGCCTGCACCGGAATCCGTTACACGCCGGCGGAGAATACTGCTGCTATACAGAGTTGAATTTTTTGAAAAGTCACTTCCATCCAACCGTCGCTCTGTTCGCGGAGAATCTGTTAAATGGTACTATTGCGACAGTTTGCGTTGTGTAACTGCCCTTTGCCCTTACAGAAAAAACGATCAACTACACGGGAGATCCCTTGAAGGATTTTAGTTTGATACGATTCTTAGATCGGTTCGTCTTTAAGAATCCGAAACGCGCGCAGGACTTCCCGAAGGAGGGCCTTCAGTCTGTTCTTCGAGCGCGTCAGAATTATCGTCCGAAAGGCATACGAGCGGTACCCGTACAGTCAACTACTTATGTAAATAACGACGAGGAGAATATTCCAATTGAAGAGCGGTTTCTATATATGTAAGCTTCTTGGTGTGTCCTTGGTATGGAATTGTCCCTCAACAATTATTGAGGCTAGAGTTAAAAACAGCCTGGTTAACTTTCCCCAAGATGTAATTCTTCTAGGTTTTTCAGTTTTTTGGGATCCTTCCCATTTTAGATTTTTCAAATCTTCACGTTCTTCAAATTATTGTGATTTTTGAAATTCTTAAATATATGCACGAGACTCATGTCTGTTGGAATTCTTCAATTTTTCAAAAGATTTTTCCAATTCTTTAGATCAATCAGTGTTTTTTGGTTCTTCGGGTTCTTCTGTTTTTTAAGTTTTTTTAGATATCTCAAGTTTTTATCTTCAAATTTTAGAATCATCGGGTTCTTCAGATCCACCAAATCCAAAAATTTGTCAGATTGAGATTTTATTCTTCTGATTCTTCAAAGTTCCTCATATTCTTCAAAAATCTCTCGGTTTTTTTATGATTCCTCGAATTCTTTTGCGTTTTTGTCTTTAGCTTTTCGAACATTTCTTGAGTTTTCTCTTTCCATACCAAGGACAAATCATCACGGCCAAATTACCTGTGTCTTTCAAGGTACCTACAAAAGCGAAATAAGGGCGCACCCGCAAAGGACGACGACGATGACAGCGATTTGGATTCGGTGGCAAGCGAGGAGTTTGAAGAAATGTTGGATAAAATGATTAAAATCAAAGACGTCGGCGAGGATTTGGATTACATGGAGAGTATCGAGGAAGGTTTTAAGTCGAAAAAGAAACGCGGAAAAGAAGAGAGCGAAGAGGACGTAAAGGAGGAAGAGGACGAGATCGATTTGGACGAGGATCCTTTTGAGCCCGACGAAGGAGACGAAGGTAATTTCCAATTTGAAATGTTTTAGGTAATCGGTTACCGTTACAGAAGTATTTAACGAAGACGATGACGACAGCGAAATATTATTCGATTCCGAAGAGGAGGAGAGCGAATCGAAACATAAGAAAGCGAAAAAGGAGACGTCGTCCTTGTTCGCGTCGGCGGAAGAGTTCGCATCCATGCTGGAAGAGGAAGGTGCCGCTAAAACGGCCCCGGGAAGCTCCAACGCTTGGTCTACCAAGGATAACGCCCGTATGCTTCAACGTGGAAAGTTGGCGCCATGTTACATTTGTGTTTTTTTTTTAGATTTGCGCCAGATTGCCTGGGAAGAGAAACGAAACCAGTGGCTGAAGGGTTACAACAAAACAATGGGAAAGGGCGAGCGATCCGGTTTCAAGAGTAAAAGGAAGCAAAAAGGGAAACAGAACGGCCATAATTTTCAAAATAAGAAGAAAAAGAAAGCCTAGGATTAGTGTTCTGTTCTGTGTTAATATAAATTTTTATCGAATGCGTTTTTTATTATATCGCCAAACAACTGAAAAAAAATTACTCATTTTAAAAAATCTGTACTGAAAGTCAAGGTAGAGTTCAGAATTTTTAATTATTATTTCTATAATTAGTTTATCATGCTTTAATAATTTCAGGAATCTAAAATTGCCATTACTCGTAGACACTGAAGAATCTTAAAATTTTGCAGAATCCAGCGGACCTAAATTAGCGAAAGATATCGGAAGATCATTAAGAATTTGAGGAATGGGAAAAAATAAAGGAATTGAAACTGTAGAATGGGAAGATTTCTCAAAAATCAGGTGAGGGAAGTACTTCAAATTTCAGGTCAGCAGCAGCGCCCGTTCGAGAGATATGGCTTTTTAAATTTTGCTTTGCGATTTCCTTCTCACACATTCATGGAATTTGAATTTAGATTTTGAACTGTAGAATCATTTAATGCAATGAATGTGACAAGTGCAACATATTTTCTCTCCCATTATAGGATAGATTACAGAAAACAAAAGTCGCTGATCGAGTAGACCCCAGAAATATTATTTTAATTTGTCTAACATGCTTAAATAAAAATACTCTCGGTTTTTTGCCCATTGAACATGTCATTTAAAATGTGGGCGAGGAATTCGGCGTGCCCTCTATCGTACGAGTAAGAATACCAAATGTTTGGTGTTTCAATTTCTATGTCACTCGGTATATGTTAGGATACGTGTAAAATTTTGATGAATGTAAACCGACCTTTAGGGAGGTATGCATACCCAACATATGTCGGTAAATTAGACACCGCCTTTAGCATTTTACGTTTATGGTATTTCGTGTTTGTATATTTTATAAGATTTTAAATAAATATGAATATGTGTAGTGATAATTAGGGCATTTATTGAACAATTTCAAGCAATTGCCGAAAATCCTTTAATATGGAAGTTGACGCAGGTGAATAATATCAATCGGATAATTACCATAACCTTAAATTGTCTATTTTGTTTTTAGATGCTGCGTCGGAAGCGCTGAAAGATTCGGCACCAAGATCTCCGTCTGTTCACTCGAACAGCTCGGAAAAGTCCCATAATGAAAGTGCAGAACTGGAGACGCCGATGTCTCCAGAAGTGAACGGTACCTCTGTCAGATCACGTTCTAGATCGGTCGGGTCAAACGCAAGCAATGGATCGGCGGTGAAAAGTGTACGTTCTCGTTCCAATTCAAATTCCTCGTATGAAGCACGGAAAAGTCGATCTAAATCGCCATCACAAGATTCGGGCCATCGGTCAAGATCTGGATCGGCTCGTTCCCGCTCGAGGTCACCTAAGAAATGTGCTTCGCCTGCTAAATCAAAATCACCGGGATCGCGCCGAAGTTCACGCTCACGTTCCGCGTCAGTCTACTCTAGAACTTTTCACTCGCCATCTCGATCGAGATCGAATTCGAAAGCATCGAATCGGTCCGGCTCCAAGGCTTCCAATCGATCTCGATCCGGGTCCAAAGCTTCTAATCGGTCGCGGTCCGACTCACAAAAGTCGAATCGGTCACGATCCGGCTCGCAAAAGTCGAATCGTTCTCGATCCGGGTCAAATGCCTCAAGAGTGTCTAACCGTTCCGGCTCCAGAACTTCGCGTAGATCACGTTTGGGTTCAAACCGATCAAGATCGGGTTCCAGGGGATCTAAACGGTCGGGATCACATCGCTCGAGAGCATCGAGTCGGTCGAGGTCGGGCTCGCGTGCATCACATCGGTCCAGATCCAGATCGCGTTCGGGTTCGAGGGTCTCCCAACGATCTAGGTCGGGTTCTAGAGGTTCCAATCGATCGAAGTCAAGATCACGTTCTGGCTCTCGCAAATCAAAGTCAAGATCCCGTTCGAGATCCGGTTCTCCCAGATCCAGATCCGGCTCTCGCCGATCTAGATCCGGGTCGGCCAAATCGGGAAGAAGTTCGCGTTCGGGCTCGAGAAAGTCCCGTTCCGTGTCACGGTCAAGATCTAGGTCGGGCTCGGCACGATCAAGATCCGGTTCGCGATCGAAGTCAAGGTCGAGATCTCGTAGCGGGAGTCGCGCACGGTCCCGCTCTCGCGGCAGTTCCCGTTCGCGGTCGGGATCTCCGGGGCCGGCCGAAAAGAGAAGGAAAATTTTGTCGGACTCCGAAAATGAGGATGGGGCGGCTGGTGCGTCTAAGCGAATAGTGAGTGACGACGAGGGTGACGGTACTAACGTGGAGAGCACGCCAACTGAGAACGTCGAGCCGCGGGAAATTGTGCCGGAGGTCTCGGATGATTCGGATGACGGAATTGATCCCCAGCGAGGGTATGTTGATTGTATATGGCCGATTAACTTGTGTACAGGGTGGCCAACTAAGAATGCGAGGTACTGTATCTGAAAGAAAAATTTATTACTAAAACAGCCATGAGCAAAACCTGGAAATTATTTTTAAGTTTCTGAAATGCCCGCTAGGGGGCGTAACTGCAATGGGGAATGTAGGAAAGTGATGTTTCTGTGAATTCCGCTATATTAACCCGAGTATTAACCTAACAAAAAAATGTCCTGTCTTTGAAGTTGACGATAATCTGAACCTTTTTTGTTTGACTTTTTTTCCTGTATCTCTAAAAATGAAGTGGGGGGGGGGGGGATTCAAAGGTTTCCGAAAAGAACACCCTGTATCTTCGAAACGGCTGCGCCGATTTAAACAAACTCGCGTTAATTGAAAAGAGTTATTCTTCGGCTACAAATATTATAATATTTGAAGTTATACACTGCCTTTTTTTGAGGCCAGGAAAAAAAATTCTCTCAGATCGATCCAGAAAAAAAATTTTCTTATAGGATGTGGCCTGTAGAATCCATAATTTCAAACAGTTCCAAGATTGGGCTACTAGTTCAAAAGTTACAGCCCTTTGAATGTTTTTATTGGTTTCTAGTCTATAACTTTGGATTGAGAAGTCTGATCGAAAAAGTACGAATTGTTTTGGATTCTACGCACCAAAATTACTAAGAAAAAGTGTTTTCCCGAGAAATTTTGGTGCAGTCGATTTTTGGTAAAAAAGGAAGGTTATACACTGCCTTTTTTTGAGCCCCGAAAAAAATTGTCTCAGATCGACCCGGAAAAAAATTTTCTTATAGAATGTGGCCTGTAGAATCCATAATTTCAAACAGTTCTAAGATTGGGCTACTAGTTCAAAAGTTACAGCCCTTTGAATTTTCTTTCGAAATTGGTTTCTAGTCTATAACTTCTGATTGAGAAATCTGATCGAAAAAGTACGAATTGTTTTGGATTCTACGCACCAAAATTAATAAGAAAAAGTGTTTTCCCGAGAAATTTTGGTGCAATCGATTTTTGGTAAAAAAGGAGGGTTATACACTGCCTTTTTTTGAGGCCCGAAAAAAAAATTCTCTCAGATCGATCCGGAAAAAAATTTTTCTTATAGAATGTGGCCTGTAGAATCCATAATTTCAAACAGTTCCAAGATTGGGCTACTAGTTCAAAAGTTACAGCCCTTTGAATTTTTTTTCGAATTTGGTTTCTAGTCTATAACTTTGGATTGAGAAGTCTGATCGAAAAAGTACGAATTGTTTTGGATTCTACGCACCAAAATTAATAAGAAAAAGTGTTTTCCCGTGAAATTTTGGTGCAGATGCGGTTTTCGCGAGCTTGTTTAGGCATCATTTAGCTACTTTTTCATGAAAAAAAAATCGAACCAGTGCATTTAATTTTTTTGAGAAAATTAACCATTTCTGTCGGAATGTCGAAAAAAGCCCCCAAGTGGCGATATCTGAAACTAACAAAACTTCAAATATTATAATTATTCCTGGCCGAAGAATAACTCTTTTCAATTAACCCGAGTTTGTTAAAATCGGCTCAGTCGTTTCGAAGATACAGGGTGTTCTTTACGGAAACCATTGAATACCCCCCACCACTTCATTTTTAGAGATACAGGAAAAATTGTCAAACAAAAAAGCTTCAGATTATCGTCGTCTTCAACGACCCGGTATTTTTTTGTTAGATTAATGTAGCGGAATTCACAGAAAGATCACTTTTTTAGATTCCAGATAGCAGTTACGCCCCCTAGCGGCCATTTCAGAAGCTTAAAAATATTTTCCAGGTTTTTCTCGTGGCCGTTTTAGTAATAAATTTTTTTATCGCAAGCCTCTACGTTGGACAGGTTCCCAGATACCTCGCATTCTTATTTGGCCACCCTGTACATTTAGACCCATTTCCAAAATGTTTCCTAAACAGTTTTCTGAAACGTTTCAAAAACGATTTTTTGAAAGAATCAAATTTGTTTTTAACAATACGATAAGCAAAATCCACATCTTCGTAAAAGTTTTGATTAAGGTTTTCAAAGTTGACCCCTACTTGGGGAGAAAGATCTTTCGTTGAAAATATGTCTACCACTTTTGTTCTGTAAAGTTTTTCTGAATCTTCATATTTTGCAACCTATTCGCGAGTGAAGGTGTCAATTTTTTTAACAAAAAAACCACGTTTCATACACTTGTGAATAACTCAAAAGGTAAGTACTTTATCAAACTCAATAAAAATCGAGTTTCCAAAAAAAGTAAAGCAATGGTGGGTTTATGGGTTATGTTTTTCTTTACCAGAAGCATCTATGGTTAAAATTTAAGGGAAATGTTTACAATATGCGATATGTTTGTCTTTACTAGGAGAATCATATTCTTTAGGAACTTCTTTCTCGAAATATTCGCGCTTGATTTATGCAAAAGTGCATTAAATATTTTGTTTTGTTCAAAACATCATTAAGGAAACACGAGTACAACCAACCGCTATTTCCTTATTTGTATTTATTTATTTATTTCCAACATTTGTAACTAGAATATTTTCAGCAGAATCGGAATTTTTGGAACATTTTGAAAACATTTCCAGCTCCTTTCCAAAACGTTGAATCATTCCAAAAATGTCCCGCTATTTGTGATAATTGTCTATTATGTTTTGACAGCGGCAATAGCGAGGGCGTTTCCGATTTTGAGGCGATGCTCCAGCGGAAGCGCGACGAGCAGTCGCGAAAACGGAAACGCAAGGACATCGACATCATTAACGATAACGACGACATTATCGCGCAACTTCTGATGGACATGAGAAACGCGGCCGAGGTAACAGCGACGCCGCGCCGCCCAGTATTAAAACGTCATTTACGTGTTTTAGGACGACCGAAGACTGAATCAAGCCATGAAGCCGGCCACGAAGAAAATCGCAATGCTCGGTAAGGTTATGTCCCAGTTGAAAAAGCACGACTTGCAGCTGGCCTTTATCGAGCACAACGTCCTTAACGTACTCACTGATTGGTTGGCGCCTATGCCCGATAGGTCTATGCCGTCTTTACAAGTTCGGGACGCTATCCTAAAACTTTTGACTGAGGTTTGTAAGAAAGAGCACCTGCAAATTTTATACAATTTAAACCAAATCAATTTTGTCTACGGTATTTTAATCAATGACGAAATCATATGCGGCGTGACCCGTGTTTCTAAAAAAAAACTTACTAAACTTACTAAAAAGTGCGTGCTATCACAGCAATCAATTTGACATATACAAAACAAAAAAAATTGTAAAATGCATTCCATTACAGTTCCCGCCAATAGACCAATCAACGTTGAAACATTCGGGTATAGGTAAGGCTGTGATGTATTTGTATAAGCATCCGAAGGAGACAAAGGAAAATAAGGAACGCGCCGGGAAGTTAATCAGCGAATGGGCGAGACCGATTTTTAATTTGTCCGCGGATTTCAAAGGTAAGAGGTGAAGCGCAGGCGAGATCTTGATCACGTTATTGCTTAGCGATGTCGAGGGAGGAGAGGCTACAGCGCGATATGGAACAGATGCCCAAGAAACGCAAGAGCGAAGATCAGGTCTCGCAACGTAGAAAGGATATCAACAAGGCGATGACGTCGTCCGAGGGAAAGTACGAAAATCACGATCGCGGTCATTCATTATATGCAATGGTCTCTTTGCAGAGCACTACGGCCCGGTGATAAAGGTTGGATAGGTCGCGCGCGCGTTCCCGTACCTTCGAGTAAGGATTACGTAGTGCGGCCGAAGTGGCACACGGATGTCGATATTAGTAGAGTGAGTAGCAACCGTTCCATCGACCGCCTTCGATTAATCCCCGCAACTTTTCTCAGTCGACGAAGAAGCAAATGAATCGATTCGAAAGGCACTATAAGAGTTTCGTCGAGGGACGACGGCAGAAGAAACAGCGCGCTGTTGAAATTTCGATTGAAGGACGAAATATGGCCTTGTAAATTTATGAGTATGTGAGTTCGTTTCCCATTCGTTTTCCCGTGTTCCCGGGATGCAATCTTCCTAATTTTGTTCGTGTATTGAAACAGTTTCAGCTATGTAGGTAGTATATAAATTATTTTTTAGGAAATATTTCATGTACAATATTTTTATTTGTATTTTAATTAAAGTTGCGTTTTCAAACTATTTTATTATGACTGAATAAATTTGTCTTTGTTGTCTTTGTAATGTTGCTCAAAGATCCCTTTACAGTGCCCCCTTCTTGTTTTCGAACATAGCTGCCGTGTAAAGGCAACGTTAGGGCTGGTAACAAAAAAGTAAATGATGCACCCATATTCCGTTGTTCCTAACTTCCAATTTGAATATATTTTTTTACTTTTGTTCTTTATCATGTTTGAAAATAAACATTCTTATTATTTTTTTTAGATTGGGTAAGACGTCGACATCTTGGACCTTTTTTACTTCTAGCCTCGTCGCCAATCATCACTCCTGCTTAAACTTTGTCAAATAAATCACTTTCTTTCATAAAATTTGTATTATTATTATCATTATTGTTAATTTTCTCCCTGTTCGGGAAGGTTGTGCAACGGACTAAGCGTCAAGTGTTAGGGCCACATGGATTGGTTTCTAGTCTATAACTTTGGATTGAGAAGTCTGATTGAAAAAGTACGAATTGTTTTGGATTCTACGCACCAAATTTAATAAGAAGTTTTTTCCCGAGAAATTCTGGTGCAGTCGATTTTTGGTAAAAAAAGGAAGGTAATAACTGCCTTTTTTTGAGGCCCGAAAAAAAATTTGTCTCAGATCGATCCGGAAAAAAAATTTCCTTAGAATGTGGCCTGTAGAATCCATAATTTTAAACAGTTCCAAGATTGGGCTACTAGTTCAAAAGTTACAGCCCTTTGAATTTTTTTTCAAAAGTGGTTTCTAGTCTATAACTTTTGATCAAGAAGTCTAATCGAAAAAGTACGAATTGTTTTGGATTCTACGCTCCAAAATTAATAAGAAAAAGTGTTTTCCCGAGAAATTTTGGTGCAGTCGATTTTTGGTAAAAAAGGAAGGTTATACACTGCCTTTTTTTGAGCCCGAAAAAAAAATTGTCTCAGATCGACCCGGAAAAAAATTTTTCTTATAGAATGTGGCCTGTAGAATCCATAATTTCAAACAGTTCCAAGATTGGGCTACTAGTTCAAAAGTTACAGCCCTTTGAATTTTTTTTCGAAATTGGTTTCTAGTCTATAACTTTTGATTGAGAAGTCTGATCGAAAAAGTACGAATTGTTTTGGATTCTACGCACCAAAATTAATAAGAAAAAGTGTTTTCCCGAGAAATTTTGGTGCAGTCGATTTTTGGTAAAAAAGGAAGGTTATACACTGCCTTTTTTTGAGCCCCGAAAAAAAAATTGTCTCAGATCGACCCGGAAAAAAAATTTTCTTATAGAATGTGGCCTGTAGAATCCATAATTTCAAACAGTTCCAAGATTGGGCTACTAGTTCAAAAGTTACAGCCCTTTGAATTTTCTTTCGAAATTGGTTTCTAGTCTATAACTTTTGATTGAGAAGTCTGATCGAAAAAGTACGAATTGTTTTGGATTCTACGCACCAAAATTAATAAGAAAAAGTGTTTTCCCGAGAAATTTTGGTGCAGTCGATTTTTGGTAAAAAAGGAAGGTTGTAACCTTCCTTTTTTTGAGGCCCGAAAAAAAAATTCGGGCAGCGTATATTGTACTGAATGTGGTGCCTTTTCCAATTTGAATTAATTTTTTTTTACTTTTGTGCTTGTATCATGTTTGGAATAAAAATTATTTTTTTTTCAGATTAGATAAGACGTCGACATCTTGGACCTTTTTTACTTCTAACCTCGTCGCCAATCATCACTCCTGTTTAAACCTTGTCAAATAAATCATTTTTTTTTTTCGTAACATTTTTATTATTGTTAATTTTCTCCCTGTTCGGGAAGTTTGTGCAACGGACTTTACGTCAAGTTTACACAAATGTTACTTATTGATCTGTGTTATGGTGTTTTCTATTATTATTACTATTTAAATTTGCACGGTTCTCTACTACACGTTTTATTTGGACAAGCATAGTAAATCATGTATCGTTATGGAGGAATTCTTGAAGTGTTTCCTGTTGTATTTCTGTTCGGAGAGTTCTGCACGTGTCCAGCAGCACAAGCAAGTATGTATTCTCGTTGATGCCAACTTTCTTTAGATTTTCGTTAGGGATTTCAGTAGTCGCTCCAATAATAACTGGGATAATTATAATATTATCGTTCGAATACGTTCCACCAATCGGCTAACTTCTTCTCAACCAATGAAATGCTCAGAAACCTGTAATGATCTGAGACAGATGAAACTACCGAACATGTAGTCTGTAACTGTGATGCCTACGCCTTGGTCAGACAGATGTCAGCTTAGGAGAAACAAGTGCCTGTGCTTTATTGAGAGGAACGAACTCTGAACCTATTTGCGAAAAAAAGGGAGTAGGCGCAATGGGCCTTTCGTGTGTCAACTGCTTTCTGGTCAGAGCCCTGTGAATGAATGGGTATATACGTTATGTGTACGTGATTCGCGAATGTAGCCAATGGCAGAATTATGGAACGCTACCCAGACACGCCATGTTGTTGTTGACAATTTACCTAACCTCAAAATTTGTGTTTTGTATGTGATGAAATAAGTAATAACCGAAAATGAAGTATTTTCTCTTCGCTTAGATATCATTTCTCTAATATCCTTTTTTTTAGGTTGACCATAGACGATTTAATCGTCTACTTCCCTTACGAATACATCTACCCTGAACAATACGCCTACATGTGCGAGTTAAAAAGGGCATTAGATGCAAAGGTAGAGCTCCGCCTTTCAATTAAAGACTAAGACTTTCATTTAAGGGCCACTGCGTCCTAGAGATGCCTTCCGGTACGGGAAAGACGACAACTTTACTTTCATTAATCGTAGCGTACATGTTGGAGAATCCCCACGTTGTTCGTAAGCTTATCTATTGCTCACGAACCGTGCCGGAAATCGAAAAGGTTATAGAAGAGCTGAAGAAGCTGTTGGACTACTATGAGAAGCAAGATTCCAGTTATCCGTCGCTAACTGGTCTCGTTTTAAGTTCACGTAAGAACATGTGCGTTCATCCCGAGGTATTCCGCTTGTGAAAACGCCGAAGAAGTTCTGCAGGTGTGTTTTAGGTTAGTACCGAAAGAGAGGGCAAAATCGTAGATAGCAAATGCCATTCGCTCACCGCGAGTTACGTGCGTGACCGCTACAGTCACGACGACACAATCCCGATTTGTCAATATTACGAAGGTTTCGCCATGGACGGGAAGGAGAGTGTTTTACCTTACGGCGTTTACAGTCTCGATGACCTGAAGCAGTACGGTCGCGATCGTAACTGGTGCCCCTATTTCCTGGCACGGTTTGCCGTAAGTGTTTTTCAGTTGCGTGCTGTTGACGGTTACCACTACTTTTAGATTACCCACGCGAATATTGTGGTGTACAGTTATCATTATTTGCTAGATCCGAAAATTGCGGACGTTGTTTCGAAGGAGCTGACCAAGGAGGCTGTTGTGATTTTTGACGAGGCTCACAACATCGATAATGTCTGCATTGACTCAATGAGCGTTAAAATTAATAAACGAATTATCGAAAAGTCGACCGCTAATATTACGCTTTTAGAACGTACAGTTGCAGAGTAAGTGGTTTGTTGCGATCGTCATAAATGTCTCTAAATCACAGCTTTCTTGTTTTTTTTTAACAAAATGCGATTCGAACGGTTTGCACTACGCGTCATGACTGACTTCCTTAGAATGGAACTGATCTGGTGTGTTCGAGGTTACACACAGTAATATTCTAAGGAACTGAGCTAAAGTCACAGTGCACTTAAGTCTAAAAATCACAGCTTTCTTGTTTTTTTTTAACAAAATGCGATTCGAACGGTTTGCACTACGTGTCACGACTGATTTCCTTAGAATGGAACTGATCTGGTGTCTTCGAGGTTACACACAGTAATATTCTAAGGAACTGAGCTAAAGTCACAGTGCACTTAAGTCTAAAAATCACAGCTTTCTTGTTTTTTTTTTAACAAGATGCGATTCGAACGGTTTGCACTACGTGTGACGACTGATTTCCTTAGAATGGAACTGATCTGGTGTCTTCGAGGTTACACACAGTAATATTCTAGGGAACTGAGCTAAAGTCACAGTGCACTTAAGTCTAAAAATCACAGCTTTCTTGTTTTTTTTAACAAAATGCGATTCGAACGGTTTGCACTACGCGTCACGACTGACTTAGAATGGAACTGATCTGGTGTCTTCGAGGTTACACACGGTAATATTCTAAGGAACTGAGCTAAAGTCACAGTGCACTTAAGTCTAAAAATCACAGCTTTCTTGTTTTTTTTTCACAAAATGCGATTCGAACGGTTTGCACTACGCGTCACGACTGACTTCCTTAGAATAGAACTGGTCTAGTTTCTTCGAAGTTAGCGTACACAGTCATATTCTAAGCAACACATTTTAACATTGTTAACAGAATGCGCGAGGATGATGCGAAACGTTTACAAGACGAGTATCAGCGCTTAGTCGCCGGACTTAAGGACGCAAGCGTCGCGCGGGAAACCGACGTGATACTTGCGAATCCAGTGTTGCCGGATGAAGTGTTGAACGGTACGTTAACTAAATTATGGCCATTGATCTCATTAGTCTTTAGAGGTGGTTCCGGGAAACATACGAAACGCCGAGCACTTCATTGGTTTTCTGAAGCGATTTTTGGAGTACATCAAGACCAGGTTGAGAGTGCAGCACGTAGTGCAGGAAACGCCGGCGGGATTTTTGCGCGATCTACAAAGCAAGGTGTGCATCGAACGTAAGCCGTTAAAATTCTGCGCCGAAAGGCTCGCATCGCTCTTGCGAACGCTCGAGATCGCCGACATGACCGATTTCAGTCCGCTAATCCTAATCACACATTTAGCGACCTTGGTATCCACTTACATGAAGGGGTTTACAATTATCGTCGAACCGTTCGACGATAAAACGCCCACCGTGTCCAATCCCATTCTGCACTTTTGGTAGGTGACGCTGACGGCAATTCGAGTTTACTGCAATATTTTTCAGCTGCCTGGATTCGTCCATCGCAATTAAGCCTGTTTTCGATCGATTTCAAACGGTCGTTATCACATCGGGCACGCTTTCGCCCCTTGATATGTACCCGAAGATCCTCAACTTTCATCCTGTCATCATGTCGTCGTTTACGATGACCCTGGCACGTCCCTGCTTGTTGCCGATGGTAAGATAAGATGGCGCCGCAATTTGTTCTACATACTCAATTGTCACTCAGATTGTATCTAAAGGTAACGATCAAGTCGCGATATCCTCCAAGTTTGAAACTCGCGAAGATATCGCCGTCATAAGAAATTACGGGCAGCTACTTGTAGAGGTACGATTTGTCCGTGAGTAGAATGACGACACCTTTTTTCCCCCCACCAACGTAAACCTCGATTACTTATTTATTGTGCAGGTTGCAGCTAACGTCCCCGATGGAGTTGTCTGTTTCTTTACGTCGTATTTGTACCTCGAATCCGTGGTCGCAAGCTGGTACGATCAAGGAGTAATCGACAGTCTGCAACGCTACAAGTTGCTATTCATCGAAACTCAAGACTCGGCCGAAACGAGTTTTGCGCTAATGTATTACATTAAAGTAATTGGTACGGCGGTAATTTCATGTTTGATTACAATCGCTTTTGGTAGGCCTGCGAATCGGGCAGAGGGGCGGTGCTTTTATCGGTGGCGCGCGGGAAGGTGTCAGAGGGGGTCGATTTCGATCATCACCTCGGCAGAGCCGTCCTCATGTTTGGTATTCCGTACGTGTATACGCAGTCTCGTATACTGAAAGCGAGGTTGGATTATTTACGCGATCAATTTCAGGTGTGTTAATTGTAGAAGGCCGCGTCATTGAGCGTGCAATTGCAGATTCGAGAGAATGACTTCCTTACCTTTGACGCGATGCGTCACGCGGCGCAGTGCGTCGGCCGCGCCATTAGAGGAAAGACCGATTACGGTATTATGATATTTGCCGATAAGCGCTTTTCTCGCGCGGATAAACGATCGAAATTGCCGAAGTGGATCCAGGAACATCTCAAAGACTCGCTCTGCAACCTGTCGACGGAGGAAGCCGTGCAGGTGGATCGCCTTCGAAGGTTTAAAGCGCTAACGTATTTTTTTTAGATCGCGAAACGATGGCTAAGGCAAATGGCGCAACCGTTCACGCGTGAGGACCAACTCGGAGTTTCCCTTCTGACGTTGGAGCAGTTGAAGAGTTTAGAAGCCAGTAAAATCGAAAAGCAAGGCCAACAGCTGTAGGATGTTGTCAATTTTGTGTTTTTTATAAGATTAATGTGTTACTAAATAAATAATAATAATAATATTGATTTATTACGCGAACCTGCGTTTAACCTTCATGCAGGTTCATGTGTTTGACACCGTTAACCTTTTGTTCGAAATTGCGTTCAGTTTTGTTGTAATGTTTACTAAATGTTTTTTTTATGTTTCAGTTACATGGTCTAGTCCCCAACTTGGATGTATATTTTTGATCATTCTTTTAAACATGTGGAAATTATCGAATTGTTTGATGTGTGTATGTGTTCTGACTTGTTGTTTGTAAGCTAACATTTTCGCCTTGAAGAGACGATCACGGAAATGAGTTATGACACTCAAGTGTAGGCTTGAAACCCAGAACGAGGGGCGAGTTATCTACCTTGGGGGCGAGATTATGCCTCTTCGGTTTGGAATCTATGTGTGATATATAGCTGCGTATCACCGATTTCCACATATTTTGTCGTAACCTTGCAATTTGCCTCACCAGGTCATTTTCCAACTAGCTCTTAACTGAAGAATTTTATTATTATTAACGTATTTTTTTTAGATCGCGAAACGATGGCTAAGGCAAATGGCGCAACCGTTCACCGCGTGAGGACCAAACTCGAAGTTTTCCCTTCTGACGTTGGAGCAGTTGAAGAGAAAAAAGCCAGGTTAGAAGCAGTAATCGAAAAGCAAGGCCAACAGCTGTAGGATGTTGCAATTTTGTATTTTTTATAAGATTAATGTGGTTACTAAATAAAATACTAATAATATTGATTGATTACGCGAACCAGCAGGTTTCTTTATTGCGTTAACCTCATGCAGGTTCATGTTTTGACACCGTTAACCTTTGTTCGAATTGCGTTTCAGTTTTGGTGTAATGTTTACTAATTGTTTTTTTTATGTTTCAGTTACATGGCTAGTCCAACTTAGATGTATATTTTTGATCATTCTTTTAAACATGTAACCTTGAATTTGCAAATTATCGAATTGTTTGATGTGTGTATGTGTTCCGACTCTGTTGTAAGCTAACATTTTTTCGCCTTGAAGAGACGATCACGGAAATGAGTTATGACTCAGTGTAGACTTGAAACCCCGAACGAGGGGCGAGTTGTATACTTGGGGGGGCGAGATTATGCCTCTTCGGTTTGGAATCTATGTGTGATATATAGCTGCGTATCACCGATTTCCACATATTTTGTCGTAACCTTGAATTTGCCTCACAGGATTTTTTTCCAACTAGCTCTTAACTGAAGATTTTATTAATTATTGTAACGTATTTTTTTTAGATCGCGAAACGATGGCTAAGGCAAATGGCGCAACCGTTCACGCGTGAGGACCAACTCGGAGTTTCCCTTCTGACGTTGGAGCAGTTGAAGAGTTTAGAAGCCAGTAAAATCGAAAAGCAAGGCCAACAGCTGTAGGATGTTGTCAATTTTGTGTTTTTTATAAGATTAATGTGTTACTAAATAAATAATAATAATAATATTGATTTATTACGCGAACCTGCGTTTAACCTTCATGCAGGTTCATGTGTTTGACACCGTTAACCTTTTGTTCGAAATTGCGTTCAGTTTTGTTGTAATGTTTACTAAATGTTTTTTTTATGTTTCAGTTACATGGTCTAGTCCCCAACTTGGATGTATATTTTTGATCATTCTTTTAAACATGTGGAAATTATCGAATTGTTTGATGTGTGTATGTGTTCTGACTTGTTGTTTGTAAGCTAACATTTTCGCCTTGAAGAGACGATCACGGAAATGAGTTATGACACTCAAGTGTAGGCTTGAAACCCAGAACGAGGGGCGAGTTATCTACCTTGGGGGCGAGATTATGCCTCTTCAGTTTGGAATCTGTGTGATATATAGCTGCTTATCACCGATTTCCACATATTTTGTCGTAACCTTGAATTTGCCTCACCAGGTCATTTTCCAACTAGCTCTTAACTGAAGAATTTTATTATTATTAACGTATTTTTTTTAGATCGCAAAACGATGGCTAAGGCAAATTGCGCAACCTTTCACGCGTAAGGACCAACTCGGAGGTTCTCTCTGACGTTAGAGCATTTTAGAAGCCAGTAAAATCGAAAAGCAAGGCCAATATCAGTTGCAGGCTGTTGTTAATTTTGTATTTTTTAATAAATTAATTAATTAATGTGTTGCTAAATAAAAAAATACCTAATAATAATATTGATTTATTACGCGAAGCCCCAAAGCATCCTGTAGTTTTAGTTTGTTGTTTTTTTGTATTATTTATTGCACGCGGTAATATTTATTGCATTTCATTATAGTGTATGTTTTGTATGCGGCATTTTATACTTTTGGTGAGCTTCAATCTTTGATTTTGAAGTTGACTGGATTTCACCTTAATGCAGGTTCATGTGTTTGATACCGTTAACATTTTGTTCGAAATCGCGTTCCGTTTTCAACTGTACCCTTGAAACCTCGAACGAGGGGCGAGTTATCCATCTTGGGGGCGAGATTACGCCTATTCCGATTTAAAATTTAAAACCAAGATCGTGTATTTTAGGGAGATTAATAAAAGACAGTAAATTTCACAACCACTGTATATTTTACGCATTCCTATTGATAAAAAGCTACCTAGCTTTTAATTATTAAAAAATCATCTGATTGGTTAGAATTTGAAACAATAACCAAGGTGATTGGTGGAATATTAATCCAATTAATTAATATGACAGCAAAATCTTCATTTGTTTTAAGAAGTTATTTTGGTTGCATAAAATTAGGCGTCCTTCTGAAGGTTTTTGTCATTTAAAACTAGACATAGGGCAAACAATACAGAAATCCCTATGTCTACTTCTAAATGAACATCACTGTATAAGTAGGTAGATGCTTTTGCCATAGGAAGTAGCTAAGGGAAAAAAGATATTGATGAAAAACCGTAATAACCCCCTCCCTTTGTTAATTAACCATCCCTGAACAACATCCCAGTTTCATTAACCTATGACCTTTTTTTAACTGAAACCATTGACAATCTAATGGTCAGTTTTATAATTAAACAAAACGATTCTTTGGAAAAAATAAACTTTACTTATACATTCCTAATCTTAATAATTTACAATTATTGCACTACACATAACGCTCCTGTAGTGCACAAGATGAAATAACCTTTACATATTACAATAAAATTATTTACAAAATCGAAATATGTCCACTTTAAGCCGACGATTGCTTGTAATTCTTTGTACTCATCATTTTCTTGCCGCACATCGCACATATCCCTTTTTTATAGGCGCAAGACTGGCAATAGTGCGAGCCGATCTGGTGTACTTTCTGTTTACATATCCTAGAACACGTACGTTATCATTGTCATTTTAACTGACACGGTCACTTACCTGCACACCTCGAATTGTTTCGTGTACGGATTAAACCTATTTTTACTCGACGTTAGGGCCTTGTTTTCGTTCACTCGACGGCCACCCGACTCGGTCGTGTTCCGAGCTCCGCTTTTCCACGGATCTGGCGTTATCACCTTGCCCAATTTCTTCTGGCAATTATCGCACACCATTTTCGTAGATGTTCAATGTTTTGATTTAGCTGCGAGACTTCTTCTTTGACAAAACCTAACCTCAATTGATTACTCACCTTTCTCTGCCATAGAGTAAACAACACTTCGGATTGTTATACTCTACAGGGTGAATCACAAACTGTTGCCATGCCGCAACACGTCACCATATTTCCAACAATAGTAAGTTAGTAGTTAGTGGATAATTCCTCTTTAAGGGATTATTACAATGTTAATTTTCTTTAAACGTCAAAAGTCATTTATTGATTTTAAATATCGTCAGTACATAAATAGTTCCTACAATAATACTATTAATGAACTAACATTTAAATGCGCTATTTTTAACATAATGACACTTGAGATGTATTTACAATAATTCTACACGCTTCATTTCACCAAAAATTTGTACAATTCTATATACTACTTAATTTTAAAAAACGGATACACTCCCATAAAAGCCTGTCGGAGCTGTCCCCTCATTCAAGGAGCCTGCCTCGTCGCCAGGCCCCTTCTAAGAGCCCTGCCTGTTACCATTGACATGTGTTAAAAGATGTTGTTTTAAGAGGCGTTTCTTATTTGTCCCATAATCACAACTGGCACATTTAAAATCTTTAGAACCTTTATGCATGAGAAAATGGTTTTTTAAGCTGTTTTTATAATGTGTCTCATAATCACAATCGGCACATTTAAAATCCTTTGTCACTTTATGTATTAGAAGATGTCGTTTGTAGAGGTGTTTCTTATTTGTCCCATAATCACAGGTAGCACATTTAAAATCGTGAGAAACTTTATGTGTTAAGAGATGTAGTTGGAATTGCTGCTTATAATTTGTCTCATAATCACAATTGGCACATTTAAAATCCTTATAAACCCTATGTATTAAAAGATGTTGTTTGAAGAGGTGTTTCTTGTTTGTCCCATAATCACACGTAGCACATTTAAAATCTTTAGAAACTTTATGTGTTAAAAGATGTAGTTTGAAGTGGTGCCTATAATTTGTCTCATAATCACAACTGTCACATTTAAATTCCTTATAAACTTGATGTATTAAAAGATGTTGCTTGAAGAGATGTTTCTTATTCGTCCCATAATCACAAGCAGCACATTTATAATCTTTAGCAACTTTATGTGTTAAAAGATGTTGTTTAAAGTTTCTTTTATAATTTGTCTCATAATCACAATGAGCACATTTTAAATCTTTAGCAACTTTGTGTATTAGAAGATGTCGTTCGAAGAATTCTTTCTTATTTGTCCCATAATGACAGGTAGCACATTTAAAATCCTTAGAAACTTTATGTTTCAAAACATGTTGTTTAAGATAATTTTTATAGTTTGTCTCATAATCACAATGAGCACATTTAAAATCTTTAGAAACTTTGTGTTTTAGAAGATGACGTTCGAGGAGTTTTTTCTTATTCGTCCCATAATCACAAGTCGCACATTTAAAATCTTTAGAAACTTTATGTAATAGGACATGTTGTTTGAAGAGTTGTTTCTTATTGGTCCCATAATCACAAGAAGCACATTTAAAATCTTTAGAAACTTTATGTTTCAAAAGATGTTGTTTAAAGTAGCCTTTATAATTTGTTCCATAATCACACTCAGCACACTGAAAATCCTTAGAAATGTTATGTTTTAAACGATGTTGTTTAAAGTTGTTTTTATAATTTGTCGCATAATCACAATCAGCACATTTAAAATCCTTAGAAATGTTATGTTTTAAAAGATGTCGTTTAAAGTTGTGTTCATTATTTGTCCCATAATCACAAGTAGCACATTTAAAATCCTTAGAAACTTTATGTGTTAAAAGATGCTGTTTAAAGTTTCTTTCAAAATTTGTTTCATAATCACAATCGGCACATTTAAAATCTTTAGAAGCTTTATGTATTAGAAGATGTCGTTCGAAGAGCTGTCTCTTATTTGTCCCATAATCGCACGTAGCACATTTGAAATCTTTCAAAACTTTATGTGTTAGAAGATGTCGTTGGAAGAGTTGTTTCTTATTGGTCGCATAATCACAAGAAGCACATTTAAAATCTTTAGAGACTTTATGTTTCAAAATATGTATTCTAAAGTAGGATTTATAATTTGTCTCGTAATCACAATCAGCACATTTAAAATCTTTTGTAACTTTGTGTTTTAAAAGATGCCGTTCGAAGAGTTGTTTATTATTTGTCCCGTAATCACAAGTAGCACATTTAAAATCCTTAGAAGCTTTGTGTGTTAGAAGATGTTGTTCGAAGTGTTGTTTATTATTTGTGCCATAATCACAAGTGGCACATTTTAAATCTTTAGCAACTTTGTGTATTAGAAGATGTCGTTCGAAACGTTGTTTCGTATTTGTCCGATAATCGCAAGTGGCACATTTTAAATTCTTGGACACAGTTTTCAATTGAGTTAAAAGGCGACGTGGAAACTCAGACCGTTCCTGTACTTCATTATTAAGAGATCTCGAACAGGGTGTACTAATGAAAATTTCGTCCTTGACCCTCACCAAAACTTCATTGTTTACTGAAGTCTGTCCTTGAAGAAAAGAATGGATTTCTTCTTCTTGTTTTGGTTCAATTTTAATGAGTAATGTGTCATTATCTCTATCCATATCTAACAATAATGTTATAAATAAATGTGTGAAAAATCTAAGGATTTTAAGAATATCTATTTGGTACTAAACAATAGAGAGAGAGAGATATATCACAGTAAAACCAAATTATTAGCTATTTACTTTCTGAGTAACAGAATTTAGAGATAACCACCCCACCAGTTATAGGTACTTTAGAAACTTACCTAAAATATTAAAAATCTACACGTCACGTTCTTTAAAATATGACAGGTGAACACCTATCTACTCTCAACTCAAATGCAGCGTTGCCAAATCATTCAGTATGTTAATTATTTCTTATTGTTAATTTCCTTTGATTATGCCAATGCCTGCTTCGATGGCGCTTCAAGAAACAATCAAGCTCTCAGTCTGCAAAACGCTTACCTATTCTTTAATCAATCAATTTAATGATTAGGTAATTCCTCTTCAAGGGATTATACCAATGTTAAAGGTCATTTATTAGTTTAAAATATCGTCTGTACAAAAATAATTCCTGCAATACTACTATTTTTGACAATAATAAACCAACATTTAAATGTGCTATTTTTAACATAATGACAGTCGAGATTTATTCACGCTATTAACATTTACAATAATTCTACATACTTCATTTCACCAAACAATTACCTGCTAATAAAATTGATACAATACTATATTATAAATGACTGGCTCTAATTCTCTTTTCGGGGGTATATAATATGCAATACATGAGGGAGGTCTCACCACGGACGTTGTCTATGGGACCCCTAATATTTCTCAATGTGACTTATTTACCAACTTTAATTTTTTTTTAAATTGTAAATCATGTTATTATATTGAGGAATAAACATATTATTATATTATATATACCTAATTTAAAAAAATTAATGCACCCTCGCAAAAAATAAGACCCTAGGGCCTGCGTCGGAGCTGCCCCTCATTTAAGGAGCCTGCCCCGTTGCCATACCCCTGCTTGTTAAGATTGACGTGTTCCTTATTTTTGTCCCAAATCCACAAGTAACTCATTTAAAATCTTTGGAACCTTTATACGGGGCTTTCTGTACGAAAAGATGCTTTTTAAAGCCGTTTATAATTTGTCTCATAATCATAATCAGCACACTTGATGTATTAAAAGATGTTTCTTAAGGAGATGTTTCTTATTTGTCCCATAGTCACAAATAGCACACTTAAAATCCTTAGAACCGTTATGTGTTAAAAGATGTAGTTTGAAGTGCTGCTTATAATTTGTCTCATAATTACAATTGGCACATTTAAATTCCTTAGAATCTTTATGTTTCAAAAGATGTTGTTTAAAGTATGTTTTATAATATGTCTCATAATCACAATCGGGACATTTAAAATCTTTAGATACTTTGTGTATAAGAAGATGTCGTTCGAAGAGGTCTTTCTTATTTGTCCCATAATCACAAGTAGCACATTTCAAAACCTTAGACACTTTATGTGTTAATAGATGTTGTTTAAGGTTGTTTTTATTATAGGTCTCATAATCACAATCAGCACATTTAAAATCTTTGGAAGCTGTGTGCATAAGACGATGTCGTTCGAAACGATGTTTATTATTTGTCTCATAATCACAAGTAGCACATTTAAAATCTTTGGAAACCTTATGTATCAGAAGATGTTGTTTGAGGTGTTGTTTCTTATTTGTCCCATAATCACAAGAAGGACATTTAAAATCTTTAGAAACTTTATGTTTCAAAAGATGTTGTTTAAAGTAGTATTTATAATGTGTCTGGTAATAACAAACAGCACATTTAAAACTCTTAAAATCGTTATGTTTTAAAAGATGTCGTTTGAAGAGGCGTTTATCATTTGTCCCATAATCACAAGTGGCACATTTCAAATCTTTAGAAATTTTATGCTTCAAAAGATGTTGTTTAAAGTAGCATTTATCATTTGTCTCATAATCACAATCGTCACATTTAAGATCCTTCGTAACTTTATGTATTAAAAGATGTCGATTGAAGAGCGGTTTCCTATTTGTGCCATAATCACAAGAAGCACATTTAAACTCCTTTGTAACTCTATGTTTCAAAATATGTCGTTCGAAAAGTTGTTTATTATTTGTCTCATAATCACAAGTAGCACATTTAAAATCCTTGAACACTTTATGTTTTAAAAGATGTTGTTTGAAGAGTTCTTTCTTATTTGCCCCATAATCACAAGTGGCACATTTAAAATCCTTAGAAACTTTATGTGTTAAAAAATGTCGTCTAAGGTTACTTTTATAATTTGTCTCAAAACCACAATCAGCACATTGAAAATCCTTAGATACCGTTTTCCAATGATCTGGAAAGTCGGAGTGTTGCTGTACTTTCGCTGTACTAATGCTAATTTCGTCTTTGACCTCCACCAACACTTCGTTGCTTACTGAAATCTGCCCCTGAAGAAAGGAATGGATTTCTTCTTCTTGTTTCGGTTCAATTTTAATGACTAGTGTGTCATTATCTCCATCCATAACTAACAATTGATTTGTTTGGTAAAAAATCTATTCACTTATGTTGTGATCACCTCTTGAACAACGATCACCCTTATAGCATGTGAAGATAGCTACCTATTTCTCAACTCAAATGCAGCGTTGCCAAATCAGTCAGATTGTATCATATTTGTTCTCTTAGTTAGTCAGTCAGTTAGTACTTTGGGTTAAAGTACAGGAAGCCTGTTGGGTTCCAAATAAATAAAGATGTCAAGTGTTGTAGTGTACTTAACCCCCAGGTTCTACGCTAACTTCACACTACAAAAACACGGAATTATATTAATTATTTATAGTCAACGCAGCAACGTTTAAAAATGGCCACCCGAATGACCAATGAGTAAAGAATACCAGGAAGGAGAATTACTCAGGTTGTATACAAGAGAGAGTGCGACGGAAGTCGGCCATTTGCAAAAGCCACTTATGAGTCATTTTTGTTGTGGTTTTTGCAGTGACATAAAATAATGGTTAGTTGTTGTGCTTGTGGTTGCTCCAAAACGGAAAAAAATAAAAGTTTGGGAATTACATTTCATGTCTAAGTATTGATACCGATATTATGTTTATATAGTACATGTAAATTTTCAAATTTTTTATCGGAATGTTGTTTGAGGTTAGTTAAACAAAAGTCATAGGCGGAGTAGACACATGGGGGTTTAGATTGTTTTCGTGTAAAATTCTTTATAATTGTATCCTTCTACAAGTGTAAGGTAGGTACGCCACTGGAACAGGAAACTACTGTCCGCCATTTGCAAAAGCCATCGCGGTCGCACGTATATTGTTGATATTCTCCTTCCTGGTATTCTTTATTCATTGCGAATGACTATTCCCTCCTAAAACTAAACAAGATCCCGCTTAAATTTGAAAAGTGGCACGTGATAAAACATCTAAGGCAGGGCCCCTTTACGTTAGTTATAGACAACGCTTTGACCTGAAAAGCACAATAGGAAAGGAACATTAAATAAAACACTGAAATTGTGAAAAGTTACTGCCAAGGGTAAAAAGAGTCCGACGAAGAAAAACCTTGCAGTTTGATTAAAACAGTCCAAAAGTTAATTAACAAAATATTTTGTAAATCTTTAAGCAGTAGTTAACAAAGATAGTAAATGCATATACACAATGTTGGTTACACTCAAGGTTAAAGGCAAGTTTTTGGGGACAATGGGTCAGGTAGGAACAGGTACCCAGATACTGAGAAACGGTGAAATACACAGGATGTGACTCATCTTTGGTGCATAAAGTCCTTTTGTTAAAAGCAAGATGGAAAATTACATGGCCTTGTAGGCAAATTTAACTAAAAACAAAATATGTGGAAATTATTGAATCGCCACAGATTTAAGGCACATAGATTCTAAACTGAAGAGCTTTGATTAGCGTAATCTCGCTCCTGCAAGATGGGTAGTCCGCCCCTGGTTTCGGGGTTTCGAACCTACAGTTGGATGTCGAAGACAATCACGGAATTAGGTGTCGTAACACAAATTTGACTACAGTTTTTTTCCACCCCCGTGACTGCTTCATCCACGAAGAAAATTGTTAGTAACAAACAAGTCAGTACATACATCAAACGAATCGGTAATTTCCACATATTAAAATAAAATGATCAAAACTTATATGAATGTAACTTCAGGGACAAGACCAAGTAATCAACATCAATAAACATAAATTAAGCAAACATTACACCAAAAACGTACACAATTACAAACAATAGTATAACGGTATCTCATATATGATTGCATTGCGGTTAAACCAAGTAAATTTCAAAAACAGAGATTCAAACACAACAAATATAAAATGCGGCATACAAAACACAAATACGATATAAAGAAATGCAAAAATTACTACCTGCATTAAATAACACAAAATAACAACATGGAGCGACGCGTTCACGATCGCCATTCAAGACAAGATGCCAAACGTAACTCTCGTTCGTGCTTTCTAGGTGGCGCAGGCAGCTTTTTTCCCACCAATGAATAAAGAATACCAGGAAGGAGAATATCAACAATATACGTGCGACCGCGATGGCTTTTGCAAATGGCGGACAGTAGTTTCCTGTTCCAGTGGCGTACCTATACCTTACAGTTGTAGAAGGATACAATTAATAAAGAATTTTACACGAAAACAATCTAAACCCCCATGTATCTACTCCGCCTATGACTTTTGTTTAACTAACCTCAAACTACATTCCGATAAAAAATTTGTAAATTTACATGTACTATATAAAAATAATATTGGTATCAATACTTACACATGAAATATAATTCCCAAACTTTTATTTTTTTCCGTTTTGGAGCAACCACAAGCACAACAACTAGCCATTATTTTATGTCACTGCAAAAACCACAACAAAAATGAGTCATAAGTGGCTTTTGCAAATGGCCGACTTCCGTCGCACTCTCTCTTGTATACAACCTGAGTAATGCTCCTTCCTGGTATTCTTTATTCATTGTTTCCCACCTAGAAATTGCATGGTGGTGCATATTGTCGAGAACCAGACGCAGTAGGCTTCATTTACAAAACTTAGCAATTGCTTTCACCGACGTCAGTTCCGTTACGATTCTCGGTTCAATGGCCAATGTACCTAGAGGTTTTGCTCTTCGCTGCGTTCTACTGACTTACCTAATTTACATAATCCACATTAATTGCGGGTTCACGTCAAACTTGATCAACATATTGACACTTCCGCAGTACGAGCATCAAATTGGTAACTTGGACGAGCTCTCGGATTCAAATCTACCGATATACATTTTGCAATCATTTCAACACGTATATTTCAACAGTACGGGAAACCTCTTGTATGAAAAGCTTAAGAGCTTGTGTGTCGCTCGCAAAACCGATGTAGGTATTAAGAATGCCGTGAACAATATACACGAGTACAATAATGCGTCCGCGGTGATGCTTTACAGAGACTTCGTTAAACTTGAGAGCAAGATGGGCAAGCAACTGAACGTTTATACATTTGCAAATAGCAGCGTGACCGGTACAGTACAAATTAGACTTAGTACTCGCCGTCACCACCATTTTTTTCCATACTTCGAACAATTTCTCGCTTTGTTGGCACAGTCAGGAATAGAGCTCAAACAATACAAAGATTATGACTCACAGTTTTTTCAGCGTTATAAAATGGCGCACGCAGAGCTACCAGATACGGTGGTCCTGTCCCTAACGCACCTTTGATTCGCGTTTGGCTTACTCGGAGTCGGTTTGACTGCGGCGACTATGGTTTTCTTCCTTGAACTAGTGGTTCATCGTTACTTCTCGTAAGGCTGCACGTAAGTATATTTGAATATTTGCATAAATCTATCCAATAATGAACTTGTGTTTAGCCTATTTTAGATAACAAAAAAAACAAGTCCATGGTTTAGTCCGGATATAAATCTACAAGTCGTTTCAGGATTACGATACTACAACACAGTAAAGACATACGAGTATAGTACGACTATTAACTTTCTGTCATAGTTTCCGGATTTATAAGATGTATATCGTAACCGTACAGGTTTATACCGTCGAGATACTTTACGGTCTTTTTATCGCATAGTTTAACCATACACTGAACAATGTTGGATACGTAAATGTTTTTAATAAATATGATGAACCACAATGACAGTTGAAGGTACTGGTATTACGGTTTGATGGAATCCATGACACAATCTCAACGCACCTTTAGAATCAGAAGCACCATTTGAATTAATGTGTTCTGAGCAAGGGGTTCTCACTCCCTTTGTACTTTGGTAGTCACGCCATGTGAGCACCTTCAAACAAATTTCACATGGAACTGTTAATTATATTTGCAAATGGTGCCGTTTTACTGGATTTAGGTATGAACAAGCCTATCTAATTCTAACCCTGTCCTTATGACTCATTACTAAAAGTTATATAAGGAATTGAGATCTGCTTATTGTTTAAAAACCACTACTGGTTCGATTATATTTGCTATGGGTGAATTTTTGTGGAAATTTGGCACTTTAGTTCCTCGATTCATGTGTGTTTTTGGTACCACGATTACGTCTATTTTAGATAAGACTGCAAAGATGTAAAATTCGTTTAAATTTGTTAATAAATGCACTGCAACAATTTAATTTGTTAATAGCCCACAGCCTTCATTCAGAGTATGTCATGGATGAACCGGTCAACGCCTGGAAATCGTCATGCCGTGCCGTCTAGCACACAGCCTTGTATATATGTACACAATAATTCAGTTGTAATGTTGTCAATTGTTCGCTTTGTTACTCGTGTATTGACTGGACTGGGTCTCCCATTTTGTTGTTTGTTGTGAACGCGTCGCTACATAAATGTTTGTTGTTAGTTTGTGTTATTTAATGCAGGTAGTAATTTTTGCAATTATTTATATCGTATTTGTGTTTTGTATGCCGCATCTTATATTTTTTTGTGTGTTTCAATCTTTGTTTTTGAAATTGACTTAATTTAACCTTATTTCAGAATCACATATTTGATACCGCTATCCTTTTGTTTGTAATTGTTTACGTTTTTGGTGCAATACTTGCTTCATTTATGTTTATTGATGTTGATTACTTGGTCTTGTCCCTGAAGTAGCATTCATATAAGTTTAGATCATTTTATTTTAATATGTGGAAATTACTGATTCGTTTGATGTATGTACTGACTTGTTGTTTGTAAACTAACATTTTCGCCGTGAATGAAGCAGTCACGGGGGTGGAAAACTGTAATCAAATGAGTTACGATACCTACTAATTCCGTAAGTAGGTTCGACTTTCAACTGTAGGCTCGAAACCCCGAACGAGGGGACAAAATTATGCTAATCAAAACTCTTCGGTTTAGAATCTATGTGCGATAAATGAGTTACGATTCGCTAAGTATATTTTTGCCGATAGTTGAATTTGCCTAGAATGCAATGTAATTTTCCATCTTGCTTTTAACAAAAGGACTGTATTGCACCAGGGATGAGTGTCATCATGTAGTCTTAACCCTTTCTCAGAATCTAAATACCTGCTCTTACCTGACTCATTGTTCCCAAAATGTGTTTTTTATCTTGGATGTAACCAACTTGGTGTACCTATAGGAATTTACTATCTTTGTTAACCACTGTTTAAACTTGATAATTTTACAATGATTTTGTTAACTAACTTTTGGACTGTATTAATCAAACTGCGAGGTTTTTCTACATCTTACCCTTTGTACCCTTAGCAGTTACTTTGGCGAGAGTACGACACCTTTTGGCTTTGCTTACATTAATGTACATCGGAGCTGGTACTGCTCGCGAGCGTTCCGCTCGAAAAAGCGCTCCAAGCGGAAAAAGCGCTTACGCGCGGTTCGCTCGCGAGCACTATTCGGAGCGGCCGCTTGGTGCTCGGTTTTGACACCAGTCTCGTATTTTGAAGACGGTGAAGGTGGTTTACCGAAATGTAAAATCGTTTACCTTTGGCATTTTAATCGTATTAAATCTGGATATGTTCCGTAAATTTATTTTGCATTCAGGCCGTTTAATTTTTGCTTTTACATTATGTTTACCGCAAGGTAAGCTTTTTACTATATACTTTTCGTTTCATTAATTACAAGGTGGTGGCAGGATGGTCTCGTTCTCCTGCAATTGCTTTCGCGTAGAAACCGCTACCGAATCCGATTATTTACTGTTCCCGCTAAGGGAAATTGCTGTGCGCTTTAAGTTTTGGTTTAGCATTCACCAGTAAGCGCCCACTTGCCCTTTAGAATTCCACCGCTCACCATTCGAATTACCTGGAGCTCATCATCGCCGACCGCAGAAGCAAGAGACACTGACAACTTCTAGTGCTGCCCGGAAGCGTTAAGTACTCCCGTTCCGCAGTGTCCTGCCACCGTTCCGCCGACTATCGCCGCCGTCACCCTCTACAGATTTTGACTTATGAATTACTGCTGGATGTTCCATTTTCTTACTTTCATTAAAGCAGCCGTTGGTTTCCGGGGAAAGTGCGTTGCAATTACACAAAGTTGGTTGCAGTCTAGGTTAAAACAAGTTTAAGGTGAGCGAATAATAATAAAAAAGGTGAGGTGCACAGGAAAAAGAAATAACCCTAATTGAACAAACATTTACACCAAAAATGAAAATGATTTCAAATATTAAACATTAACACAAAAATAACAACAAATGTAATACCTAGACGATGCTTTCTCGACCACCGCTAAAACCAAGATGCGTTGGTGCTGCTGAGGCGGCGCAGGCAGCTTCCCCCTTGTAATAAGTCGCGCGGTTCCCAGCTCTCAAAAATGTCATAATCGTAGGTTGTATATACAGGATGGAACCTCCAACTTCTTGTAAAAATTTACAAAAAATGTCCTTATACTCAATGGTGTTCTCGTTTGTCATTATGATTTGTATAAATTTTTGGGAAACTTACTACGGGTGAAGATTTTCCGCGCATGAATTACACAAAAAATAGTTTACTTACTTTACTTGCCTCGAGTTCTTAGGAACAAGGCCGTTCAGGTAGGATAGGATTAAGGGTATATTTTCAAGTCTCAAAAACAAGATAAGCTCTTTGTTTCCAAACTGCCACCACCTATACACGCCATTTGTAAATTACGCCATCGGCTCTAGCGTTAATTTGAATCGCTAATTACGTGAAAGAGACATCTACGCCTATGGGGACATTAAAGTAAAAGTGGCAACACTGTCGTGTCAAACAACATTTTAACCGTCCTTGAGAAAATTAAGCCGAGAACACACTGTCAATTTTTGATATAAAGTCAAGATAACGGGAATTTAAACAAGTTTGCCCCACTTCAATTGTCCAGATTCCCTTATTACGTCCCTAAGGAAGACGAGATCTGTTAATTTATCCTTAAAGCAGTGTCATATCGCCTAGCCATGCTTCCTGCCTGCGTTAGATCAATCGGCAAAACATCCCCTTCGAACGTTGTAAGTACAATTTTACACCCTAATCAATTTTTGCCAAGGTCTTGTATAACCTACAAACTTCGGGGAAGGTTAAATAAAGGTCCCTAAAAGAGATTTTACCGCAGTTAAAGGGTATAATGAGCAAGGTTACGCGTAGCAGTTTGGTGAATGTAAATTTTTTCAAATTCTTTATGTGATTATGTAATGGGCAAGTTTGTGTTGAATTCTGTTTCAGAAGGCTCTTGGGTTTTTGACGGGTGCGAAAAGTAGCTATGCCACCGAAGTCAAGTTTGATACGAAGGTACAGTTGAATTCTGTGCTATGAAAATATTGTCTAATTCCGTTTTAGCCCTATCGGTTGCATAAATTGGACCAAGCTCCCGCATCTGCGGCGACCCTAACGAAAGACGATGCGATCCAGTACTATACACAGATGCACACCATACGTCGGATGGAGACCTCGGCCGGTAACCTTTACAAGGAGAAAATTATTAGAGGATTTTGTCATCTTTATTCGGGGCAGGTTAGTACCTGCAATCGGTGGTACCTATTCCATCACTGATGGAGCAAGGTTCTAATTTTTGTAAGGGACATAAGCTTGTTTGCGGGGGGGTGCATATGAAAGGTCTGGAGGTGGACATGTGTAGCGCCTAGGATATAATTTTGGGAGGGGGTGAAAGAAATAGATTCTTTCAGAGAACTAGGTATACTCACACGATCAAAGTTCCCTCCCCCCCTCCATTTTGTTCTACATTTTCAAAATTTAGAAAGAACTTTAAATGAAACTTGACTATGTACCTATTCTAACAATCAAAACCCCCCCTCTCCTATTCACTAGGTACATAATTTCAACATTTAGGAAAATGTTTACGATCAAACCCCCCCCCCCCTTCGCGTTCCTCATTTTCGAAATTCAGAAAGAAAACATTAAGGAATCTGTTAAGTACCTACTCTCAAGATGGCAGTACCTACCCTCTCTCCTTCCTGTTTTACAATTTCAAAATTCAAAAGAAACCATTAATTAATCTTTACTCAAGATGAAAAGCCCCCCCCCCCCCCCGTTTTTACAATCACAAAATTCAGTACAATATTAATGAAT